CTGTGTGAGATGAATGAATTAATTAATGGACCATGCCTTTAAAATGTTATCTGCAATATTAACGCTTGTTTTCCTTTTCCTGACTATCTTCCTACAGCAAACAGAAGAGAAAAGCACGATGATAATCATTACAGTTGTAAGGCTGTATTCATTTATAATCTCAGTTTATATAAATGATGTCTTGAGAAACAGAGGCTGCCACCTCATTGACTGTGTGCGTCAGCAGCTAGCAGCAGACACGATTACAGCCTGAATTTAATGTCAGGAGCTCCGTCAGAACAGAAGCAGGCAGCGTGTTCTGATGGAGCTGCGGGCAGCAGCGGGGTTCCCCCTCCCGCCTCTCATCCCCGGCAGGTGTTTGAGCCTCGACTGATGTCTAAAAAAATCCATCCAACAACGGTTTAAATAAAGGCATGGGTTGCTGTTAATTACGTGCAACGCCAACCCCAGGCTAAGCTAACGTGTAGCAAAGATAAAAAAAGATAAAAGGGTTGATGTGGTTACCGCTGAAGACCATGGCCGCAGAGGCTCCCATCACGGCGAAGAAAGGTGAGTACTCGGGGCTCTCCTCAGAAGACATTGTCACACTTCCCTTAAGGACGACGAAGCTAACGGATCAATATCCTCTCACTCTCTATGGCGGGGAGGTTCCCCTGTCCCACCTTCACCTCTGGGCAGCTTCGAAGACCGCAAAGCAGCGAGGGTGACCAGCGACGGCTCCGGTGGAGAAGAGGAAAATGGCGAAACGGAAAAAGTCACCTGACCCACCAGGGCGGAGGGATCCACCTGAGCTGAGGCGGGTGTGCTCCACTAATAAATGTGAAATAAACACTCGTTGACCTATATTTGCATTTAAAAAGGTTACAAAAATTCTACTCTTAGAATATGTTTTAAATAAATGTGATACATTCACTATAGTCCATCTAATTACGCATTATATGTACTGTTTTATGCCCTTTTTGTTTAATGGTATGTTCTGCTGCAAGTGCACTGACTGCAGCTGAAACTAGTCGTCACTACACGCTGTCGTATTAATTATTAGTGCCAAATGTTCACTAAAAGCAACAAAAAACGGCGATTTCTCTTTATAAATTTGACATGAAAAGTAGAAACTAGAACCTATAATGACCGTTATGCTCAGACCGAGGACTATTAACTGAGCCTGGAGATATTTGCGTCAAGGTGACACTCCAATGAAGATGGATTTCTCCCATGTCAACTAAAAAGGGTGGATCACCTCGGAATTAAATTCTCTCATTTAACAAAACGTTTAATAAACACATATGTATATATACTACATCTCCACATCATTTTATGTTCAGATAGGTACAATTTGTAAATGTCTGAGAAATTTAGAAATGGTTAAAATTGCAATTTTAAAGCAATTTATATTTATTAACACTAGCTCTACAAAAAAAAAAAATAAACAAAAAACAACAACAATTGAATAAAATGACGTTTAATTGCTTTTACTCAGACTCGTCAGTCCCACACTTATGATTTAATACATTTTGTATTTTCCCTCTGACAATTTTCTGATACAGATTTTAAAACTCCACATTCACTGGGGATTAAATGTGCTTAAAATAAGACATACCATTCAAGAAAGACAGGTTTGTGTCAGATTTAATAGCCTAATTCAGTAGGAATTACCAAAAAAAAAAAAAAAGTCTTTAGTCAGCTGAATTTGTATCATAGGCACAAGTTTATAGATTAAAATGAGTAACAAACTGATTTGGACTCAGTAAATCCTATTTTGAGAGCACCAAGTTTTAAATGCAGTAATTTTATATTAGAAATATGTTTTTAATAATTCCATGACAAGATTTTTTTTAATTTTTATTTTGTCCCATTAATTTAGTTGCACTTTTGTTAATATATTTGGACCAATTGTGTTTTATCCTATAAATATCTACCAGACTTCTTGGATTAAACATAAAGTTAATAATCAGAGCTATGTATTATTTTTCTGTATTCAGACTATTTTATATTTCCTCTAAGGTATCATGTGATTGTACTTGTACAATGGTTTTTAGAGCTGTAAAGTGAAAGAGGGGGTTGCTGAAAGTGCAAAGAACAAACATGACTGTCAGTGGCCTCTCTATCACATGGGAAAGAAATGGGCTATCAGTTTAAAAGCTGTTTCATGTGACCAGCTCCTGCTCAAAGCATGTGTAATGCTCTCTTTGCAATTTGCAAACTTTGGTATAGTAATCTAATTTTCTGATAAGGAGGGAAACTCTAAAGATTATTTAATCTACTCCAGTGACAAGGAGATCACACAATCGCTGTTTTTGATTGAGTCTCTACAAATAAAACATCAAATCAATAAAATACTAATTTATTTTTCATCAGCTGAACTTCTAGGTTTGTGAAAACTGTACACTTGGCTAAATATATGTTTCGCCCGAAATTGTTCCAACATTAATGCGGTCTAAGAGATCCCACAAAACCACCTACTGGCGGTATGCAGAACTGCACAGGAGGACGCCTACAATGAAGTAAAGTGGGACAAACACTGCCATCTTCTGGTCAGCCGTTGAAATTACACCCATGTTTTATTTTGAACTAAAATATACACTCACCGGCCACTTTATTAGGTACCCCATGCTAGTAATGGGTTGGACCCCCTTTTGCCTTCAGAACTGCCTCAATTCTTCTTGGCATAGATTCAACAAGGTGCTGGAAGCATTCCTCAGGGAGTTTGGTCCATATTGACATGATGGCATCACACAGTTGCCGCAGATTTGTCGGCTGCACATCCATGATGCAAATCTCCCGTTCCACCACATCCCAAAGATGCTCTATTGGATTGAGATCTGGTGACTGTGGAGGCCATTTGAGTACAGTGAACTCATTGTCATGTTCAAGAAACCAGTCTGAGATGATTCCAGCTTTATGACATGGCGCATTATCCTGCTGAAAGTAGCCATCAGAAGTTGGGTACATTGTGGTCATAAAGGGATGGACATGGTCGGCAACAATACTCAGGTAGGCTGTGGCGTTGCAACGATGCTCAATTGGTACCAAGGGGCCCAAAGAGTGCCAAGAAAATATTCCCCACACCATGACACCACCACCACCACCAGCCTGAACCGTTGATACAAGGCAGGATGGATCCATGCTTTCATGTTGTAGACGCCAAATTCTGACCCTACCATCCGAATGTCGCAGCAGAAATCGAGACTCATCAGCCCAGGCAACGTTTTTCCAATCTTCTATTGTCCAATTTCGATGAGCTTGTGCAAATTGTAGCCTCAGTTTCCTGTTCTTAGCTGAAAGGAGTGGCACCCAGTGTGGTCTTCTGCTGCTGTAGCCCAGCTGCCTCAAAGTTCGACGTACTGTGCGTTCAGAGATGCTCTTCTAACCACCTTGGTTGTAACGGGTGGTTATTTGAGTCACTGTTGCCCTTCTTTCAGCTCGAACCAGTCTGGCCATTCTCCTCTGACCTCTGGCATCAACAAGGCATTTCCGCCCACAGAACTGCCGCTCACTTGATGTTTTTTCTTTTTCGGACCACTCTCTGTAAACCCTAGAGATGGTCGTGCGTGAAAATCCCAGTAGATCGGCAGTTCCTGAAATACTCAGACCAGCCCTTCTGGCACCAACAATCATGCCACGTTCAAAGTCACTCAAATCACCTTTCTTCCCCATACTGATGCTCGGTTTTAACTGCAGGAGATTGTCTTGACCATGTCTACATGCCTAAATGCACTGAGTTGCCGCCATGTGATTGGCTGCTTGGAAATTAAGTGTTAACGAGCAGTTGGACAGGTGTACCTAATAAAGTGGCCGGTGAGTGTATGTATATTTTCAATGTCTGGATCAGCAATTTATGGCTAAATAAAATGCTGTTTAGTTTTATTTAAACATTATTATTTCTGAAAAGAACCAAAACTATAAACTTGAAAGAACTCAATGTCAAAAAATTAATTTCCATTTATTTTATTTTTATCTACAATAAAAAAATCTAACTTTTAACAAGTGTTATCTGTTATGCATCAAAGATTTTAAACATAAAGGGATTTGCATGCTCACATAATTAAAGAAAGGCATATCATCTGTGCTGACCAACCAGATTTATCATATTTGAACCTGTCAGTGGCTTCACACACCCCTGCTCTATAGAAACCAATGTGTTGCATGGTCTGAATGCTCAGACCTCCCTGATATTTGCCCTTTCATTTCAGCTCAGTATGTTCTTCTCTCAGCACATTATACTAAAGCCAAAATGCTCGCTCTGTTTGCAAAGAGCAGGAACAAACAAAAGTTAATGATTTAAATTCATGTTTCCTGCAGGAAAGCTTTGAGTCCAGCCCTATTATACTTTAAAACATGAGTTAATATCCTAGTAGAGCTAAGAAGGCCGACATCAAGGGGATAAAGTGTGCGTGGGTTAATTGATAGTGAGCTTTTATTATAATTTACTATGGCTCAAAGCGTTTAAATATGACCAACCTCTCAGGAAATGTATAAGGCAGAGGCACAGGAGAAAGCTGCTGGCCCAGTCAGCTCATATCAGCCTACTACTAGCTTTCCAAAGTATACACATTCTTGGAAATCCTCCACATTTTGTTATATTACAACCACACACCTCTGTTTATGTATTGGTATATTTATAAGCCAACACAAAGCAATTTAAATCTGAAGGGGAAAACGATTAAAGTTTTTATGAGAATTATTTTTAACATATCAGTTTAAATCAGACATTATGTTAAAATGACCGACAATACAAGATCTAGATTTAATTGAAAATCTGTGGTAATAGTTCTACTTCCAATTGCAATTAATAAAATATCTTAAAATGTGTCAAAAATGACACATTTAGCAGGGAATAAATCTTTATCCTTTCTCAAATGTTGGATTCTGCACATCTGAAAACATTTCAAACTATTCAATATGTGTAAAATCATTGATTATATATGTACACTACAGTTACCATAAAATACTGTCCTAAAATTGGATCATACTCTAAAGAAAAGGACAACATAAACCATGAGTACAACCAATCTGTATTTTAATGAAAGACCAGGTTAAAATAAAAACCACTTTAATGAAAGCAGACATTTAAAATCACCATAAATATGCTACATCTATCCTAACCACAATTGGCATTAACACAGTGAAGCAGACGTGGCGATAAGGACCGCTCAGTGTTAGGTGATGCGCAGACGTTTAAAGGATATAGGTCTCATTAGCAATAAATGGAAGTAAAGCTATCCCAAGGGTGCAGTGAAAGAAAAAATCTAGAAGTAAATCAGTCCCAGACTAATGCTTCACAACACCATCCAGCTTAAGATGCCTCACTGCAAACACACACACACTCACTCACACTTATCATCCAAAAAGGTATACCTGTGAACAGAAGACTCACTACAGATTGAAGAAATCTTGCAGAAGATTTCTGCCAGTCTTAACATCACAAACTCAAATCCCCGATTGCCATTTTACTGACTTCAGAAGAATAAAAAAGAAAACAGGAATTAATAGTAAAAAAAATCAAAGAGCTTGCCTGCTGCTCTATGTATTCCCATATCCTCCCTGTATATTAAACTCAGAAAAAGCTTTGATACTGAATTCTAGTTAAATATACCAAAGCCTGCACCTTAAACTCAAAAGAGAAAAATTCAACCTCTAGCTTTATGGCCTCGAAGCCACACAATTTAGTCATCGCTGTAAAAGTTTGATCTTTCTTGTGTTAAAAGGCTTTAAAATCCATTGCACACCTGGCGCCTGTGTAACTTTATCACCCCACTCTCTCCGAACACAAAAGCCATACACTTATTCAGTCCCAGAATAACTAATCATCGGGATGACAGCCTCAGAAAGTGTTGGAAAAAAAAATATACAAGGACAGACAAAGATAAGGCATCACATGCTACTCTTAGCGAAGCTGCATGAAGTAAAAGTGTGGCACAGCAGCGGCCTGAAGGCGAGATGAGGACTATACACTTGAACCCTTTCACGTTGAGGGGATGCAACTTTTTTTTTTCTTCCTCTTTTTAAAAAGTCTCGAAACATTGCCGTTTCCTTATTCAATCCCAGCCGTTGTCCTTTATCATATGGGACAGCTCGATGATGTACTTCCCCTCTTTGTACTTCTGGCTGAGTTCGAAGGCCTGCTCCTGTACAGAAAAGACAAAAAGGTTCAGAGTTTTACCTGACTTGCTTTAAGTACAGGGTTTATTTCACAACAAACTTAAATTAACCTGCTGGATCATTTCACACTAATGTTCAGTAAAATCCAGACCAAAAAAAAAAGTGTTTCAAAACCCATTCAAACTTAAACCAGGAAAAAGCAGAATGTTTTTTTCTGGTTGGAGGAATCCCTGAGCAGCAGTGCTGCCCAGACCTGATTACTACCAGACCTGTAGAACCAATAAACCCCCGAAACAGAACCTGCCAGATTATAAAGCTCAGGAGAACCCAGCTCCTATTCGCTTCAGTTAGTCAGAATTTAAGACTGAAGGAGGTAGAGATTTTGCAAAGATACGTGGAAAAATATTCTGAGAACAAACAAGACATAAAGTGATATTTTAGAGAAGAAAACTAATGCTTGTTTGTTTAGCTCCAGCTTTCTTTTTTCTATTGTCATTACACTGCCACAAGTACAGAGCAACAAAATGAACTCTGCATTTAACCCATTCCCTTTAGGATCAGTGGGCTGCCATTGTGTGGCGCCCGGGGAGCAGTGAGGGGTTAAGGGTCTTGCTCAGAAACCCAGAGTGGCAGTCTGTGGGAGTGGGGCTTGAACTCAGAACCTCAGGATTCCAAGCTTTATCCCCTAACCACTAATATAAAATGTACTAGATTATCATCTACATGTTTTATTTTAGCTAAAAACATGACTCAGCAATGGAACAAAACAATAAACACCAATTATAAAGGGCTAAAAGAACCTAAAGCATCCCTAAAAATGGACAAAACAAACTAATTTAGTTGTTAATGCCTTTTGTAAATATTAAACTTGTCATTAATTGATTTGGGTCATTGGTTGATTCTGATACCATTTTGTGGGTCAAAAGCTGAAAAGTTAAGGAACCTCTGGTTAGATGATAGATGTTGAAACATGTTCAGAAACCAGTTAAAGGCACACCTCAGATTGTGACCTAAAGAGGTGACGCATATTAGTTATTTTTAATGATTCCTCAGGCCAATATAGAGCGCTTGACAATATCAATGCTAAGAGCGGGGCTCCTTTCTGGAAATACCAACTATGTAAGCTGGGAGAAGATGCACCATCATCGGCCAGGTCATGTGACCTGGAAGAACGCCCCGTTCCACCCAGCGGATCTTCACTAGAGCTCCGCCGCTGGTCTCCTGCACCGCGCCACGCGACGCTGTCTGGCCTGCCCCGGCGGTGCTCTCCAGAGAGCAGCAGCGTTTGTCACGCCCTCCGAGCTGAACCTAGAAGCCTATCGTGTTTCCCAATCAAAAAACATGGGGAGCTGGCCGGCTGACTGTTGACCTTTCAACAGTACTGCAGCGCTTGTGGCCACTAAGTGCACTAGACGTGAAAGTTATAAGTCTAGCTCCCGTAGTGGCCAAAAGTTACAGGGTGTGCCTTTGAAGTCCAGTTGGTGTTGATATAATCCTGTTCTGTGATTGCCATGACCCAGCAGGTTGAACATTTTTACAAACTATATGTCACGCCTATAGATTTATTAAAAAATAAATATACAAGGAAAAAAAACTGAACATGTTTGACTGATGTTTTCCCAAAAGTACATCTAAGAAAATAAGAAACTCTCCATTTCTACCTTCCAGGATTTTATTCTGTTTCAAATGACCTGCTGAGTTTTAAAGCTCACAGCTTGAAACAAACAGGTCACAGGAAACAAGCACCAGCTCAACCAGTTTTTGTTTTACTTAACAGCATTAGCATTGCATAATGCATGGGAAGCAATTAGTGTGATTTCCTCAGAGTACTAATATGTTGACCAGTTAAGAGGTGATGAAAACAAAAGGGAAGTGGATAGAGATCTAAATGTGGAGTCTGAGGGAAAGCCCAATATTCAAAACAAACATGTCTAGCAGGATTTTATTTTTATAAGTAACAGCTTATGAATAAAAGGCTTCACCATTCACTTCATGGAGCACCACTTTGTGTTTGCCCCCTGCATAAAATACAACAAATATAAGTTTGTGATGGTAAAGAGGGCAAATAAACAGACAGTATGAATTCTTATGAAAAGCCCTCCTGTATGAATTTAGCTATTTATTTGCAGTTGGATGTTGATGTGATTTTCCAGCAGATCCACACAGAACTATTGCAGTTACAGTCAGATACTCACATATTTCCAGCCCAGAGTGGTGTGGCAGTTTTCACAGTAAATGTCAGCCACTGCATGGAGTCCTGTCAGCAGCAGCCTCTCCTCAGCGGGACCACAGCCCACATTAACCCTGAAATTAAAAGCAGGGTCACAGATCAGATTTTCTACTAGAATCAAGATTTTGTTTTCCTCGGGGGGGGACAGAAGAAGCTGCTATTATGTTGTTGCATAGGAAATGTTTGCAGAACTGTGTAATGCTGACCCACTAACCCTTAAAAACAAAGCATGACCAAAGTAAACTGACGCAACTGCAGGGTCCAAACTGCAGAATCTAAAAAAAAAAAAATCTAATTATCTGTTTGCACTGTGGTCTCTGCGTCAACGCATTAGATAGCAGCAACGTGTTCGGATGGAAAAATAACATTTAAGAAACCACATGCTTAGGAAAAAGATCTGAGATTGCCAAGTGTTTCAATGAGAGCATTTGAGGAAGAGACTTAGAAAGAAAAAAAAAAAAAAAAAACATCTCATGATTAAATAAACAAAACTGTTATGAAACCTCTGGCTGTATCCAAAATACTCACACTGAGTTAAAGAGGTATGCTCGTCCTTGGCTGCCTTGAAATGACTGACAGGAAAAAGGAAACAGAGGAAAAAAAGATCAGATTGAATGTTTTTTTTTTTTTACCTTTCTTGTAGCTTTTTCTATTTCTAACACATAGCAGAGCTGTAAAAGGGCATAAAAAGTTTAGCACCCAAAATAAGCATTATGACATAGGCTCGGCGGCTTGTTTACCTTTGAGATAAGATCGTCATGGTTTGCCAGATGGGCGCGGCAGTGCACGCAGCTGTAACGGCGGTGGCAAGAGTCCAGGTAAGCCTGGAAAGTCTTGGCTTTTGTCAGCTTCACCATGTCTGTGCAGGAAGAAAAAGGCAGGGTGCACATGTTGCATTACTGTATATGGTAATCCAGGCAAAACTGCTTTGGATTTCAATCGGTTGAACCGATTTCAGGTCAGGACACTGAAGGGAGCCAACAAATTCTGGAGCTGCTACATGAAGCAAGCTAAAGCCTTATAAATATGAGCTGAAAATTCTGGAAATGATTTCCCCCCCCTGACAGATTCCAATGTTTTGTTCTAAGAGTAAAAAAATGCTCCTTGGATTCTTCAATATTATTCTTACCCCTAATTTTACTGTCTGATCCATATACTGAACTGCTGTTGTCACTTTATACATAAGTAATGTTTGTAAATTATTGAATATTTGCATTTAATCAACTCACCAGTGAAATGTAAATAAACAAACAAAGATTAAATAAACAGACAAACGAAATGGTTCACTGCTTGTTGCGAATTTGTCACATCTCCATTCAGTTTTTCATGTTTTTGATCTGGTTTGATCAGAAGATCAGAAATTATTTAAGGACTTTCTTTTGGCTGATAATCAAGCCTATGCTTCCTTAATTTCCTGTTAATTCCAATTGGTTTTACAGAAGATCCTGCAGTGCAGATTTAGTCCTAAATCTACTCTAAAACAAAACCTGATATCAGCTCTGTCCTCAAGAAAGTCTGACTGCTGCATATTTGATTATTATCTGATGTAGAAATGCATTGTTCAAGCTTGGCCTACATTAGATTGCCAGGTTAGTCTAAAGTTTTAGCTACTGATTTTTCCCCCTATGTATTCTATTATAAAGACCATGACATAGAGAACAGAAAAAACAATATGCTACAAATTCTCTAACAGAGGAAAAGCGTTTAAATAAAAAAAAAAAGAAAAAGAACACAGACATATGGGTTATATAAACCCTGATGATCAGTTCATCTCTAATACCAATGCTAAATTTAGGCATCTAAGCTGCCTCACTATCTAAACTGCAGGAAACGATGTCAACAGGCCAAATGTTGCAGGCAATTTATCAATTTCGAAACTCTTTCGGTTTCAGTGGGAGTTTCTCTTTTCAATGTAAACAAGAAATCAACATTTTCGTATAGTTAGCATAAGTTATATGATCCTATGTCACAGATTATACAGGTGAAGACACAATGCTTCAAAACAATTAGCAAAAATCTATATTTAGCTTAATAATGCGATATTAATCCGCATTTCAATCTGTTTTCTCTGATTAATGTCCACAGGAGCTTCTAATCGGGGCCAAAACATTATTCTGCCACAAAGGACAGCGCTAGCATGCTAGCTGCGCAAAGTCGGTTCTGCATTGAAAATAGAGGAAACGATTCCTGCCGTTTGTTTCCACTCACCTGCTAAAACCGAAGCTGTTCAGAGTTAACAAAGCGGTTTACAGTGACTGACAGTTCAATAACAGAAGGAAAAGGTCGACGTTAGACCGTGAAGTCCAGCTTAGCTCGGTGCTACAGCTCTCCACGCGCTGACCGTTGGGGGAAAAAACAGCTCTGATTGTTTTTGTTGTACCGGGGAGCCCGCCTTTCTGCTCTGACTCGATAACAAAGTTCTCCCAGAGCCCTTTTCTTTCTTTTTTTCAAAACAGGAGCCGGAGCCCTGACAATGCTGGCAGGGTGACAAACAAGAGGGCAATGCGTTCCTCTGCGGAACAAGAATGCAGTTTGTTTATGAAAGCACGCAGATGGAGGAAGGGTGAAGGGTGCAAAACAAACCTTAACTGACCAATCACAGCGCCCCGATGACGTTTAGAATATGGGTCATCCAATCTGCGTCGGCTTCACATGAGCCTTTTATGGCTATCAATAGGCTTGCTTTCTGATCCAATTTCATAAATGATGGGTTGTCTTTATTGATGGTGGAAAATCAGATTCCTTTAACCCTTTATAAGGCATTCAGTGAAATACTTTGAAAATCAAAATTTCAAGCTTTTACTGACCTTACACTGCAAAAATGATCTAGAAATAAATAAAAATGTCCTAAATTAAGTGTATTTACCCTTAATTTGAGTAGGTTGATAAGATAATTTGCCAAATCAATGAAATTTTTACTCTTAAAATAAGATAATTACTTCAAATTAGACAAAGCAGTTGTTTTTTTCTCTTATTTTAAATGTAATTTATCTTGTTCTATTGGCAAAGTGTCTTACTTTCCTCCTCAGTTGAAGAGAAAATGCTTTTTTTAAATTAAATTTCAATTTTTTTTGCAGTGTATTACCTTTGTAACATTAAAAAAATATGTATATTTGATAGCACACATTAAATTGTAAAAACAAGAAATGCTGACTTGACCGAATATATAAAGAAAAATAACAAAAGTGCTTCTATAAGAAATTAATGAAAAGCACAGAGTGAAAGAAACACATTTTATTTGCTTCAACATAACCTTAGAGGCATTAATGCTGATACTGTCACTTACATTTTTTAGTGTATACACCTATATATAATTGTTAACTAGGCTTATTAACTTTTTAACTTTACTGTTTAACCTTTCAATTAGCTTTTTACCTTTTTTCTTGGCTTAACTTTTTTTTAAACTTAATTTACAGTAGGTAATATATCATTCAAGGGCTCATCTAATTGGTCAAATGCCAAAATAAGATGTACAGCCATGTAGCAGGATCTTTGCTGAATGACTGGATATAGATCTTGTGCTTCTAGACCTAACTAAGGGACGGAGGGACTGCATTTGTAAGGTGATCAAAAACGGAAACTTATAAAGTTTGTAGCAGTGTTCCTTAAGAGTCAGAGTTAACTTCATATTAATGATACTATGTTATATAAGAGTTTAATACAGTTGAGATCAAGGAAAATAAACTACACTCATGAGATAATAAAACAGTTAAAATAGCAAATATATAGCTTCTTTTAAAAACCTTTATTTTTTGATCGACATTTAATTTTCATAACAAGTGACATGCCAACATTTCCCATGCTCTTTTTCAATATTTAAACTTTTTGTATATTTCCACTGATGTTTCAAAGATTTGTCTCAGACAATGATCTCCAGAGAACAGAGGGCTTTCTGTCCATCTCCTTCCACAGATTCCCTATCAGATTTCTGTTATGGCTAGGACATGTAAAACACGATAAATTCAAGTCAGAAAAAACATGTCAAAAGAACTGAAATATTTTTTGAAGCCTTAAAGCCACTAGTTTTAATAACAGCTAACTGTAATTGCTAGGTTTGTGCGAACAACAACTCAATTTCCTTCAGTTTTCCATAGGTAAATAAAAGAGGAAAGGCAGGTTATGATAGTGAAAAGGCGTTAATAAGTCTAGCAGAATCCAACTATTTTAGGCAGTGAGGTGTTAATTGTGTTTAACAGGGAGACAGGCTGGAGGAGGAAACTGAATGTGGAGGATTTGTGGGGTCGACAGAGAGGTTACCCTTTTTTTTTCGGCCCTAGACATTCAGGACATGGGAGAAGGGAAGGTGATCCCTGATGACCGTCTCTGCAGACATATTTGGTTGTTGCAGTTTGTATTTATAATTTTGAGCATAACTATATTTTAATACAAACCAAAAATGAAAAATTGTTCACAACTCTATGTGTGCTATGTTCAATATGGCCCAGCTGTCTCCTTAAATGTCAAGTTTGCTTTAAGTTTTGGTACTCAAAATTGTTCAACATACAATGTGTCAAAAATGCACGTTGATTTATTTCATGTGTAAGAAAATTAAAGGATCATGATGGTACATAGAGGTTGAACAGTATGCCACTGGCTTTATAGAACATAAACTGATAAATGTGGTAATCATGGGTGGATCTAGAGAGGGGCCAGTAGGGCCCAGTGCCCCTGTAAAACTGGTCCTGGCAGACATAATACAAAATAAATATATGATAAGTAAATCTTGATATGTGCTTGAACAGAAACAACTGATAGGTCCCTCGGACCAATTTAATTTTTTATTTTTACAGTTTTATATTGTTGATGATTTAAAAATTCAGTTGTTGCACTTTTAGCTTTAGTCATATTGAAATAGGATCACATTTTATCTGCTGGATCTGAGGTTTAAATAACATTCACCTCATTTTGGGAAATTCTCGTCTATTTTGCATACCCAAATGAAAAAACCAATAACTTAGGAACTGTAAGCCCAACTTACATGCGTGATACATTATTTGAAAGCGAACACCTTCCAGTTTCTGAATTTATACATGACAATGAAATTGGGTGAATAAAACACCCAAGCTGCATCAGTTCAAACATGACTCAAAGTTGTTTTTTTTTTCATTCTCATAAATAAATATTTTTTGAACATCAGTAATAAAGGTATGCTTGCTTGTTGTGGCTGTTTTGTCATGGTACATTTTAACATGCTGCTATATCTGTGTTAATTGTGCTTTGTTGCTCGCCATGTCCATAAAATAAACTAGGTGGTTGAATTGTGGAGAATCTAAACGTTCCAACGATGTCTAACATGTCTAAATTGGTAAACATTTTACCAGTGTAATTTTCATGCATTCTGAGTTATTATTTGTAAACTGTGGGTTTTGAGAGGTTAAAGAGCTGCAAAGGGCACTTTGCCTCACAATTTATAAAACATTAAACTTTTGCCCTGTTTTTTGTTCAATTTTTTCCTCCTTTCTCTTTATGAATAATCAATGGCCTCACCCTGGCTCCACCTGGTCAATTTGTTCTAGAACCACCATTAGTGTTAATAAACAGTTAATAACTATGTGCTTAAAAATGTTGTTCGCTTGATGAGCTCCAACATTCCTAGTTAACATTTTAAAGTCAGGTGGTGTTGTTTGAATTTTAGCTTCAAATTTGGAATAAAAAAAATACATATATTTTTTTCCAGTAAATGAGAATGTGCTCATCCTGAACTGTAGATATCGCATCAGCGCAGAAATCAGTACAGAAAGTTGCTACAACATATAAAAACGTGTAGTGAAATCTGCCAGCATAACATTTTTATAAACACTGACAGTTTGCATAAAGTTAACCCAATGGAAACATTACCATACGTCCTTTTGTGATCCTTTGGTGTTCTGATACATACAATAAATACCAATGTATTGTTGACCTGTTTTGCTTAAGGAAGCCTGTATGACATCTTGTAACCATTGTGAGTTGTCTTGGATTTTCAAATTACCAGGTGAAACAACAAGAATACGCCCTAAAATTATACTTTGATATCTGACAGGAAAAGTCAGAGTTCACTAAGCAGTCATAAGCTCACATCTACTATGGCAGCCCCACCTATGAATCAAGGAGAGAATTGCAGGAATCAAATATATGAGCAATTCCTCTTACTATTTAAACTTTATAAAACAGAGGCACACATATCATTAAAGTTTATCATTATACAATCTCCAAGGATGCTTCCTTGATCACACAAATAAACTAGAAGTTGGATTTTGGCTGAGGTTGTTTGGGAGGAAGATTTTCCTGTAAGTTTTTCTATCTCAAAACCTAGAAGTTTTTCCATTTTAAATGGAAAATGAACAGAATAAAGACAATTTAAACAGGAAACTCAAGTTAAGCCACATTCCAGTATTTATTTGAATAATTAGTATATAAAGCAAGACCAGACATAGCCTGTTTTATTGCTAACAGTTAAGGCAATTCAAAGACAAGATGCAAATATTGACTAAAGATAAAATGAAATGTTTTTCAAGATTTTGAGGAAGGAAATTTCGGCTGATTTTTATGAAGTCTTACAAACGCCTTTCGTTATTATATCCTTATTTATAAGCTTTGTGGGCACTAAACAAAGGGTTATCTTTCATTGATGGCCTTATTATTGATTCAGACTTTTCCAGCCTCAGCTTTCAGCGGTTCATACAGTTTGTGTTGTTCAGCTGACCACCAGTGAAAAACCTGGACATGTGACAACAACAAACATAATTGATTTAGAGGAACGTTAACACAGCAAACCACTTGATTCCTAGAAACATCACAAATTTTTAGTGATTCAAACCTTCTTATTTGGATCTAATATAAAGAACTACATTTGCTTTACATATTTTTATGTCTTCTTGCATTATTCAGTACAGACAAGTTTAGAGAAAAAAAAGCCTTTGTTTTACCACCAGACTGATTGATTATCCTCCATGCAGTGTGGCCGGACTTTGGCCATGGCTGCCTGGGAAAACAGGAGGAAACTCACTGCACACATGAACCATTAGGTAAAGAAAAAATACAGATTTATCAAAGCACACTAATAGTACTCTGTACCCTCTGTGTGCATGACCATATCTGGTTTCCTTGCAAAAGTAAACACACCTTTAGACCAGTTTAAATTTTTTTAAGTTATAGAAACTAAATTCCAAGTTGCAGGTTTTTTTTTTTTATAAGGGATGTATGCAACAGAGCAATAAAAGGTAGTTGTAAACAGATATTAATGTATGATTCTCAGAGTTTTGCAAATAAAATCTTGACAGTAACATTCTATTCCGATACACCTAAATAAAATAAATTACCTGTATTATTTACCTAGTTAGGGAACAGAGTGGAACTGTGTGTAAAATAGTCTCAGTATAAATCAGACTGTTGATTAAAGGCCTCAGAGGTTTGTTAGAGAACTTTAGAAAACAATCAACTCAAAACAAATAAAGGTGGAAAGTTAGGAAGAGGTGGGTAGTTGCCAGTTATTTACTCTGTTACATTGACTTAAATAGCTTTAAAAAACATGTTTACAGGTCTATTTTTATTGCAAAATACCTTTATTTTCACTTCAGCAATAGTATTTGAATGTCAATAAATGTTTTTTTTTTTTCTCACATCAAATATATTGCATTCTTTAGTTTAAAAACTACATGGTACAAAAAAAAAGACAAAAATATTTTTTTTCTTATACATAGTTATTTTTTGTGTGTAATACTTTGTTTGACTCAATAAAACAAAAGCAGAATTAGCCACTAATGTTATACCTTTTCACATCATTTTAGCCTGTAAAAGCAGATCTTATGATCAGTTACAAAGTCTAGACCTAGGTGAAAACCTGTGGCTAGATAAAATTACTTTGAGGTTTTTGATTCTAATGGGAAAAACGTCCAGGATTATGAACACTTTTTAACAGAAGCGTTTAGCACCACTACAATATACTTTATTCCTGATTTTCTGTGCATTTTGAGTGACTTTTTATTTATTATAAAAGAACAGATGCAATTAAACTGGCCAATACTGTCAGAGAATAGCTACAGTCAAAACAAAGCCATGTTTGTTTTGCGCCTTATCACTGGTTGTCAAGTGACAGGCTCCATCTAGTTAAACATTCACCGCTGACAAAGCTCATTCACACTTTCTTTACATAATGATCTGATTATATACAGTAGACATGATCACCCCCTCTGCAGTGATTAAGTGCCCTTTATGCTTAAAGAACAGAATGAAACCTTAGTTCTTTCAGCTTATTAACATGAAACACAGTCTTTGGTGTTTTTGCCGTCCTCTTTTCGTTCTGCTGGGGTTCAATGTTGACTCCTGTATGTCTGGATGTAGCTTGAGAGCAAAGATGGATAATCAGTCATGACTCCTGTGGCTCCCAGTTCAAACGCTTCCTTGATGTCTTTATGTTCATTGCAAACAAATAAATGCACCTGTGGTTGCAGAAATACAGACCAGAGAGACAAAGAGTGTGGATAAATAAAAACAAATAGGGAAAAACAACATCTGCTTCACTGTTAAAAAAATAAATAATGAAAATAATAATTTTGCAACCCTTTAAATTTTACTTTGGTCCATTATTTTAGAGTCATTTGAAAATCGCTTACCACTGATGCATCACCTATGTATTTAGATTAAATGATTTTTGATTGTGTATTGCGTGACTAGCTGGTTTAAGGCAGGAGCTTTAAAGCCTCTTTAATCATTCTTTAAAAGTGCAATTAAAATTCACAACAAATCTAGATGTTATAACCACACTGCAAAAATGATCTAGAGAAAAGAGAAAAATTCTTAAATTAAATGTATTTACCCTTAATTTAATTAGGTAAATAAGATGATTTTCAATTGGAATGATTATTTTAACTCTTAAAAGGAGATTGTTAGATAAAATTTACTTGAAATAAGACAATGCAAATGTTTTGTTTTCAAATGTAAATTTTCTTATTCCATTGGCAAAATGTCTCTCTTACCTACTCAATTCAAGACAAGATGCAATTATTTTAAGAAAAATGTACTTATTTTGATTTCAGTTTTTTGCAGAGCACTTTCACACTCTTTAAATATACAACTTCTTAAACTTTAATAACCGTATTATGGATGCAAACATGTGTTTACTTTTTACATTTCTTTATGGTATAGGTGCACGTTCTGGAAGTGTTGCCACACTGAGCTCAGAAAAAAAAAACTGGTCACAAAGAAATCCTCTAAAGGCGAGTACAGAATTCATGTAAGAGCTCCTTTGTTAAATCTGTCTTCTCTGATTTTGCATACCTCACCAAATGAGATCATAACATGTAGATATTTCTCAGTGTTTGCACATCTGACAAATCAAATGGCTTTTATCAAAGCGGGTTTGCATTAATTAGTGATAAATGTCTGCTAATGAACATGAAGTTGCTTTATTTTGGAAAGTATGTGTGTGAGGGTTTAAGTGAATGTATGTGTAAATAAAAAGGTGTATTTATTTTTTTAATTGGAGCATCTAAGGGCTGCACAGCGGGGCAGAGGGTAGCACTGCTGCCTTGCAGCTAGAAGGGGTAGATTCCCGACCTGGGGTCTTTCTGCACTGAGTTTGCATGTTCTGCCTGTGCATGTGTGGGTTCTCTCTGGGTACTCCATCTCCATCCCACAGTCCAAAAACGAGACTGTTTTATATTGATTGATTGTTTTTGAATGATTAGCTTCTCTAAATTCTCCTTAGGAGTGAGTGTGTGCGTGAATGGTTGTTTGTCTTGTTTCTCTCTGTGTTGCCCTGCGATAGATTGGCGACCTGTCCAGGGTGTACCCCGCCACTCGCCCATTGACAGCTGGAGATAGGCACCAGCACCCCTCGCAACCCCCGCAGGGATAAGTGTGATGGAATATCGATGGATGGATGGGGTATCTGAGGTGCGAGGTATGTTATGATGCATTCTGCTTTTCATTTGATTTTCCTTGTTTTTCTCTCATACAATTGCATGAAACCAGTTAACTTTGATTGTCATCAACCTGTCAGAGGACTACAGGTGGAAATCATTCATTATAAGCTGACAGCTTGTATATTTTCTGTTTTCTAATCAATGTATTGTTATGTACTGTCCCTGAGCAAATAAAATCACAATTATCCTCGTTTGTCATGCATTATTATACAACCGTACACTTCAGTCCTATGGTTTCCAGAGAGGAAACTGTGGAAGTACATTTCAATTTCAATGCAGCTTGGATCCAATAAAGAGTTGGAGGAATAGGCACTAGCAGAGCATAATCTCTCAGGAAGCACAGAGTCACATCACAGTAGTTAATATTTTCTCATCTAAGACGTGTGTCGATTCTTTGCTGCAGTAGTATAATGATCCTTAAAGTGGTACCTGTATTCCACGGGCTGCGAGGTGTTTGAACAGACTTTTTCTCATTGTTATCCTGAAAACAGCAAAAGGAGAAAAAAAGACTCGATGAAAACAGCCAGTGAATTTTTCTAACACATTTGAATAGATGTCTAAGATCAACTGAATATCAATAAACAATAACATTTAGGAGTAACTTTTATGTATTATTTTTAGTCAAATGCATAAAAGAAAAACAATAAAAGATCAGGACACCTGTGATTCAAACAGTTACACACACACACACACACGTGTGTATCATATCTGGTCTAAACGATAAGAAAATAGGTTACCCAGCATTTAGTTGAGTGTGTGCTTTGTTGATGTTTAAGTGCATGCCTCAAAAATCAGAAGCAGACTGTGAATGTTTAACCTCCATGGGAGGTGATGACCAAATAGGGAAACCTTTGCTCTCTGGGGAAAAAAATAAATAAGGCCAGACTAAAGTTTGCTTAGATTGAATTTAGACAAAGACCAGGACTTCTGGAGCAAGCTGTTTAAACAGATTGGAGTAAAATTGCATTATTTATTTACTAGTAAAGAAGATATGTTTGATGAAAACCAAATGCAGCATTCAAGGAAAATAAATGTTAATCATTATTAACGATGGAGGTGGGACTTTTTGGGAGTGGTTTGCCGCAGTGGAACCAGAGCAGGCCATAGGCAGAGGCTGCTGGACTGGTGTCCTAACTTTTTCTTTAGGTAGAAAACACATTCTATTCTCAACAACAAAAAAAATTGTTGTTTATTTCCCAAAGAAGAACGGTGTCCTATTTCTTGTCTGCTTCAACATAAACATTGTACAGTATGTGCACTCCAATGGTAAAAATGGAAAAGAAATTGACTTTATATGCAGTAGCAACATCTAAAGAAAAAAAAAATCAACCTGAAACAGCTTTAGTTGGGGGGAAAACAGTCACACTTTAAGAAGTTAATTATTTTAGGAAAGCTAATTGGTTTCACAATTCTTTGTTACCTGTGAAGAATAATTAGTAAACTCTAAAGTTCTCATACAGAATTTTACATGAATGGAGCCAAATCTCTCCGGCTCCTTCAGAATCGTCGCTTCAGCTCACCCATAATATGTTCTATTGGATTTAGTCTTGCTGGGGTCTTCATAGGATGAAATGGGCTGACAGCATCACAGATCCACTCTACCTCACAGTATGAGGTTATTTCCAACATTTTCATCCTTTCTTTCCCTTCAGACCAACTGGAAATGTTGGTGCCTAAAATCCTAAACTTTTAGTCTCACCTGACCAAAGCGCATGGTTCCAGTCATTGTCCAAGTACAGCTGAAATAACTTCACATGTCCACATTTGTGTTCGTAATGGAGAAGAAAAATTATCCTGATTTTCATTAGTCCTAATACCATGCATATCTGCATTATTTTAATAGTATAACTTTTCGTATGACTCATTTTGAAAAGTTGCAAGGAGAAAATTAAAGTATGTACTTTAAAGTCATACTAAGAATGATTAATAATACATCATTTATAGGCCTACTTATTTTAATAAACAAAAGATACATTTTTTAATGGAATAGTTTAGCCAACTATCAAACATCTTCCTAAAATAAAAGCCTAATTTTTCAAGTTTTTTCTTAGTCGTTTTAATATTTTGATTTGGCATTAAATGATTGATTTATTACAATTTCTTGCTTTTTTTTATTCCATTTTTATTCATTTTATCTAGGGATGCCAACAATAATGGTATTCTAATTTACATATATCTCATTATCAACTTCTAAAAAAGACTCCTGTTTCCAGGTGGCAGAAATTGCACAGTAGGTTATCAAACCCAACTTACTTATCTATAAAAGAAACAATCAGTCTTTTCCTCAGGATTCCTTTCTCTGGTATGTAGGTCCTATTAGTCCACATCAAGAAAGATGACAAAACACAACTCTGTAATATAACACCGCATTATTTTCTTGAATACACAAAAATAATTTGAGTTAAAAAAACATCATGTTAGAGCATGGACTTTAGAACTGTGTCTTTTACTGGGAAAGCAAACCTGTTAATGATGCGTGGCAGGTAAAACTGCAGCAGGCTCTCTCCCAGAGGGACAAAGGGCAGTAGGCCAATGTAGAACAGGAGCAGAACCAGGACGCCACGTTTCATTGAGAAACTGTAAGGCATAGAGCTGTTCTGCAAAGAAAACAGGCAAAGATGGTTTTAGGAGATTGACATAGGCAGATAGTGGAGGATAACATTTAAAACATTAAATTCCCATGACAAATGCAGCATGGCTGTTTTACAGGGAAAATGTACTGCAAAAGGGTTTTTATTTTTGATTTAAGTGGAACTTTGTCTCCCCCTGCTGGTTAACATACGATACTGCGGCACTTCTTCAAGATGGTGGAGTCTACTGAGGCCCACACAGTGATGTTTTCTCTGTTGTAGCGTTTAACCATGTTTGAAATCTGCAGACAGACAAGACATTTGGGAGTTTGTTAATACTTAAGAAAGACCAAAAACGTGGACAACCACCTCCATGCTGCATAGCCTACCTGCAAACAGCACTGTGGGCATCAGCCATATTACCTTAAACATCACCATAGAGGCCTGAATAACTCAATTTCATGGTATTTAATAATTGAACTTCTTCACATTTTAACTGGTTTTAACTGGTTGCCACACATTTTTTTGTACCCAAAAATAGAGCTTATTGTGAAGTGAAAGGAAAAATGAATAACTAAAATGTTGAATAATGGTGGAGACGTGTCCCTTATAGGGAACCGTGCTTCTCCATCTAGGAATGTGTTGCATGAGTCATGGTATGGAAGCTTTCAAGAGAATATAACATGTCTGAATGTGTTGTTCAACGTGTGAAGTTTTAATTTGCTGGTGGTTTATTTTACGGCACATGGGTTTGCCCTATTTGTTCCATGGGAAATAGAGATTCTGTGGGAACAGTTTGGAAACGGGCTCTTTCTTTTGAAACAAAACCGTGCACCAGTGCACAAAGCCCTGTCCATGAGGACAGGGCTTTGAGGCTTTGCTGTGGCTTACAAACTCTTGACCTCAACCTTATAGAACATCTTTGAGATGAATTAGAGTAGAGAATGAAACGGATGCTTTCTCTTTCCTAGAAGAATCTATGAAGAATAAGCACTCCTAAACCCATTAGACAGCTTATGTTAAGGAGTTGAAGCAATAATAGCTGCTAAAGTTGAAGCAACATAATAATAAACCCTATGGATAAAGTCTCAGTTAAGCTCATATGCCAGATGAGACAGTAAGTGAATATTTTGGCCATAAAGTCTTTAAATCCCCCTTTACTACGATTAATCATAGATAAAATCTAGGGAAACCAATTAGCTTCAGATATCTCCTCACCTTCTCTTTTTACAGGTAGATGGGGAAGCTAAAAACAAATCAACAGCAAACCTTTCACACTTTTATTTGTTCCATCCATCCATTATCTGACACGCTTGTCCCAATTGGGGTCGCGAGGGGTGCTGATGCCTATCTCCAGCTGTCAATGGGCGAGAGGCGGGGTACACCCTGGACAGGTCGCCAGTCCATCGCAGGCTTTTATTTGTTGAAAAAACTTTTTTTTTAGAGGAGACGTTTAAGGTATGTGAATGGTTTTTAAGGTTCTCACTTGAATCAAAAATGTCAAATAAAATAACTGTTACTTAAAACATTGACGCTGCCCATTACTAATTCTTTTCTGATTATTTTGGAAAATGTAGGTCAAATTTAGGTCAAGTTTATTAGCTCCTTGTGGGTGTTCTTTACCTCTTGCATCAGCTGTTGGTTGTTCTCTTTGATCTCAATGCTTATGGGGATCTGAGGGAACTTCCTGAACACATCCTCCAGAAGAGCGATCTTCCTGTCTGTGCCGGTGCTGTGGTGGCCTGAAGGGTGAAAGGACATAAAAGGTCAGTGGGTGTTAGAGAAACACAACCCTTTGCTAAAGGCATTTTCATTAATGATTGATAATTTGAATGAGAGAAAAAGAACCGACCTGCATGGAAGGTCACTTCAAGTGATTCGTTATACAAAGGCAGTTCCTGAAACAAGAAAATTAAAAGTTTAAAAAGACCAAGGTCAGGCCAAGACCTTTAGAGACCAAGACCAAGACATATAGAGGCCAATACCAAGACATGATTAAGACATTTAGGGGCTGAGACCAAGAAAAGACCAAGACATACAGAGGCTGAGACCAAGACAAGAGGAAGAAATTTAGAGGCCCATCCAAGAAAAGATTATGACATCTAGAGTCCAAGACCAAGACATGTAGAGGCTGAGACTAAGACAAGACTAAGACGTTTAGAGGCCAAGACAACAGAGAAGAGGAAGAAATTTAGAGGTCGAGACCGAGACAAGATTATGACATCTAGAGTCCAAGACCAAGACATGTAGAGGTCGAGACTAAGATAAGACCAAGACATATAGCAGCCGAGACCAAGACAAGATGAAGAAATTTAGAGGCCGAGACCAAGACCAAGATATTTAGAGGCCGAGACCAAGACAAGACCAAGATATTTAGAGGATGAGACCAAAACAAGATTAAGACATCTAGAGGCAAAGACCAAGACATGTAGAGGCCAAGACTAAGATAAGACCAAGACATATAGCAGCCGAGACCAAGACAAGATGAAGAAATTTAGAGGCCGAGACCAAGACCAAGATATTTAGAGGCCGAGACCAAGACAAGACCAAGATATTTAGAGGATGAGACCAAAACAAGATTAAGACATCTAGAGGCAAAGACCAAGACATGTAGAGGCCAAGACTAAGACAAGACCAAGACACGTAGAGGCCGAGACCAAGACAAGAGGACGAAATTTAGAGGCTGAGACCAAGACAAGATTAACACATCTAGAGACCAAGACCAAGACATGTAGAGGCCAAGACCAAGACAAGACTAAGACGTTTAGAGGCCGAGAACACCAACAAGAGGAAGAAATTTAGAGGCAGAGACCAGGACAAGACCAAGAAATTTGGAGGATGAGACCAAGACAATATTGAGACATTTAGAGATTGAGATTAAGACAAGACTGACATTTAGAGGCAGAGGCCAAGACCAAGACAAAACCAAGACATTTAGAGGCATTGGTCTCTGCCTCCAAACATCTAAGTCTTGGCCTCTAAAGGTCATGGCATTCTCTCTGTACTCCTTTGTCAACAACACTCGATTTTACCATGCATTACGACAAAATACAAATATACTGATCTTTGAATTTGTTTACATCTTTAAAGCTTAAAACCTCTTGAGGACTGACAGTCTGTGGGCTGCCAGTAAAACAATGAAATGCAAAATTCAGACAAAGAATGTCATAATTTACTCACAGATTACTATTTTCCTACTCTGCTGAGCTATTACGGCTGCCATCTTCTCTTCTTTCAACTGACACATCTTTCAACAAATTCCACTTCTGGTCTCTCTAAATCCAGTCACACAACATTTAAACACTACATCCGGGACTAGTATGCAAATAGACAAACCCAAAGAAAACATCTCCAGAGTCCACATGTTTGTAGATTTTTTTGTGGATTTGTAATCAAATTTGAACATCTACTTGCTAGAACTTTTCTCTGTAGCATTGTTTACCTTATAGGCCCATATTGTCAGTCATCCATTGTAGAATTACATCACAAAAAAAAAAAAAAAATAGAGAATGCGAAATATCTGTGAAATATGATTGCAAACTGGTTATAACACTACTAAAAATACTTGAGTGACATACAGGATTCTGATTAAGTAAAAGATTTGGAGCCAAAAAGCTTTCAGGTCTGTTCCAAAGAGCAACCATTAAAACCCTTAAAAAGCCTCCAAAACTAAATTTTAGACGTTTGCAGAGTCTATTCTGAATAGACTCTGCAAATAAAACAGTTTCTAAAGCTTAGTCACAGAAAATAACATTTAAAAATCATTTGTTTTTTGTAAAGCTTTTTAACATAAAAGAAGCTTAACATCTTGCACTGTAATTATGCCTTAATGTTATTCATATAAGCACCGATACCGTATGAGCTGAACCCAAATACTTTGTGGATGCACTCTAACACGAGTGTTGAAGTTAGCTTTTGTAATTTAAAAAGCGTTGCTCTTGTCTTACCTCCAAATTGAGTGAGGAGATGTTGACATCTTGGCCTGTCTGCCTCTTCAGGTTCTCATCATGAGAAACGACCACATATCCATCCTGTGTCAAGTGACAGTCCATCTCCAGCATCTCTGTGCCCTGTTCCACTGCACTGATAACAGAGAAAATGGCCCGTGAGGAGGAACGTGTCTCCATGTTAAAAATGTTGATCTGAAGCAGAAGCCTGCCTTAGATCCATGTGACCAACAGAAATGGACACCAGTGGATCTGCAGCGGTCACTACGACCAGCTTGGTTACACTGGGGATTAGGTTTTTCCATACCATCATAATCAGTATGAATATTATACTGGAGCTTGTTTTCTTATGTCATTTTCTAACATGAATTAAGTCAGAAAACATTTGTAAAAGTCATTTACAGATAGTTTTACCCCCAGAAAAATCTACAAACTATTCTCATCTTAACACTTTTTGCACAACTCACCAAAATAGGTTCATTATTTACCACCCTTAGGTGCTGTATAAAAATATCAGCTCAGAAATAGCAATTAAATAATTCAAACCATTCAGGCTATCTTATCACACAGATTCATAACCAATGACCCCTTTAGGTATTTTACACGGAAAATATATAGAATGAGATCAATGCAATGTAATCTAGATTGAAATCCACTTCCTTGTGTTTAGACCGAAACCTGGTTATAATGCCATGTAGCTAATTGGATTGATTCATCGATTTTGCAGCAAATGTTTGTGTATTTGGCTGAAGGACAGCAATAGGCCTGGGGAGAGGAGAATGAAGAATAGCTAGAATGAGAAGAGGACATGAGAGGTGTAAAGAAACGCTTGTTGCTGCAAAGTTTGTGAGACCACGTTGTGTCATTAAAGCTTTGGATCCTGACTGTCAGACAAGGAGCTGACGTCCCAGGCACTTTCATCTATTGCGTATTAGCTTAGGTTTCATTCAGCACTGCTGAAAACATAGAGCTAAACTCGATGATCACAGAGCAATTTGGTCAGTTTTTGCCTCTTTTGTACATTCGGTGCACTGTTGTTCATTTAATAGATATCAATGCCTCATTTTGTCATTTTTTCCTCCCCTCCATAAAATTAAAAAGTAGCATTTAAAAAGATGTGCTTTTGAAGAAAAAATGCAGCTGTTGTAACATTTTATGAAAAATATTCCAAGTATGAATAAAATCCAGCTTAAACAAAAAAAAGGAAATTCTAGGTGGATTAGTTGACCAACAAACACCTTTAAATTTTTTTTTTTAAGCATAAATTACAAAGGCTTGAATTTAATGCAGATTTCCAGATGCAAACAGGATAAAATGACACTAAGACATTTATACTCACTCCCTCAGTAATGGTAGTACAGACAGTGTGCTCCACTGTCTCCAAGGGGCTTAAAGAGGAATCACAGATTCTCATCAACATCCTTTTTTTTTCTGCATATTTGATTATTCCTGTGATCAGACATTTTTTAATCTGATCTGTTTCTGTGACCCCAAATGTGTAACTTAGCAGAAGAGGGTACCTTTCCAGGGCATAATTAAATTTCATTTGGAGATTTAGTGAAACAGTTTGAACATATCTGTTCAATGCACTGTCAGCAGCAGATCACACCCTCAGCATGATGCCGCCATCACCATGCTTCTGAGTGTTAAAAACACCTTGAGTAAAAGTAATTATTGGCAGTGGTGTCAAAAGTGAACACATTTGTTACTTAAGTAGAAGTATAGATACTGCAGTTTAAAAACACTCTGGTAAAAGTTTAAGTTTCAACTTGACCTAAGTATGTGCTCCAAAATCTACTTAAAGTATAAAAGTATAAAGTAACCTTTTAAAAAAAAAGCCAGATGCCACTATATGAATTGAAAGCTCAATTTTTCAAATATTTCGAAAAATTCTTTGAGATAGGACCAAGGATGCGGGAGGTCTTGTTGGTCTCGTTCTCCCAATACACCTCTGATTATTGGTGGATGATTTCCTCTTTGACCTTGTACTAGTGAGGCTGTATGCACCTGTGTTTTCCTGTTTTAGTGGAGTTCATTAGAAGTAGTACTTACTGTGTAAACGCCTCCATGGTGCTTTCTATCTTCTCTCCCGACCCTGAAAATAATCAGAGAAGTCATTACCAAATAAGCTTTAACAAAGAAAAAATAGTTATCACTTATTCACCTTCCACATCAACTAACACAGATCTAACTATTACATCATTTGTGGACAGATCTTTCAAAAATACTTAAGCGTCATGAAATTCTCCCCATGCCTTTGATAATTAGATAGAAACCGACTAAATAAAAATATTCTTTAAAATATTTCAACAGAAAAACAATTCAGGATTTCATCAGTTATTTCTGCTTTAGGCAGGACCTGAAATCGGCAGCAAAAACAGAGATCTAAGTCAGTTTTCCTTTAAATAAATGTATTTCCCCTTGATCACAGGAGGTTAGTAAGACAATTTAGCACTAGAATAAGATAATTTACATTTAAAAAAAAAAAAGCAAACAACTACTACATTACCTTATTTAAGGGGAATAATATCTACTTATGCTATGTAAGGGGTAAAAAAAAAATACTTATACCATTGGTAAATCATACCTGTGCAGGTTAAGAGTAAATGCACTTTTTAAAAGAGGTTTTAACCTGTTGTTGGATCCATTTTTGCAGTGTAAAGGTGAGCTATGCATCTCACAGCTGGATCATGGATCCAGAGCCACCTCTTTTCTCCTGCTTACCTCCTCGGTGTGAAATGTGAGTGCAGTAGAAAGCAGGTTGTTTCCTCTTGTGGAGATGGTGTGGGTTTTTCAGCAGGTACCGGGAGACTAGTGCATAAATGGCCAATGGAGGCAACCCCAAGTACAGAAACATGCTCATCCTTTCCCTTTAAGATCAGCTCTCTGAAAGTTCTCAAACCTGAAGATAGATATCTCCTTATGTAGCCACTAATAACCACACCAGCTCTTGCTGCGAGTGATCAGAAGTGAAAGAACTGAGGAGAGATATGGTGCAGCTGCCTGTTAAAATATAAGAGGGAAAAACTGGACAGACTGGTAAGACTGAACAAATATCTTCCACTTTTATCTCAAACCAATATGTCAAAGTTTGTCCTGATTTCTGATGAAAACAGCCCTAAGCAGGGCTGTAAACATTGGTTAATGAAGCACCAGCTTGTTATCCATTGGCCTCTCCTCCTCCAATTGCAACATTTGACCCTCTGGGAGGGAAGGGCGGAGTGTGTCATACTTTCCAGGTTTTCTTTTATTTTGCCTCACCATTGACAAACCACCACTATGATCACACCTACCTCGAGAGGACCTCATCCTGCAAAGCTGGCAAGACTATCTGAGGCAGGATTCCATTAATTTATCAGAAAAGCGACAGATTTCTTTGTATTTATCTAGGAGTCATGAGCTCTTAAATGTCATTCTAGAAAAAAAAAAAAACTAAATGCAAAGACTACAAAGTCAGCATAGAGCAGTACATTGTTCGGCTTCAATGCAAAAAACAATGTAGGGGTGCAACAACTGCAGCGACCTGGTGACAGCCAGAACAGAGAAAGGCATTCACTGCAGGACAACCTGGATATCCAGCATTGTCTCAAATATGCAGACGCATGCTTTTGACATGCAGACCCCCCCCCCCCCCCCCCCCCCAAAACACAATATAGCTGTTAGTCTTAAAGAATGTCAGAGAGGGAGCAGCCGTGCCGAGACACGCTACAAGGAAAAGATAAATTCCCACGACTCATGCTGCACCATGGAGGGGCGGTTTATAAAAACACCTGAGGCAGAGGTTGCTGTTTGGGCATGTGAAAATAGATTGCTAAAATGAAAACTAACAGATAACAGATGTCTATGCCTGTGGAGAAACAAAAAAAAAAAAATTCAGCTTCAAGAGGAGAATCCAAATCAGCATCCTCTGGATGTAATCTACCATGAGTTAAAAAAATGTAAATATTAAATTAGAAGTAATTAAATCTAAAATCAATGCTTTACGATCATTTAGCTCCTTATAAAAACCAGACAGGTGAGAAAATTCCTTCATTTGTTCAAATTTCTGATTGGTTCTTGTAGTCTGATCACACTATGAATATCTGCTTCCATTCAGCACATGGATCATAGGCTGCCCTCCACTTAAACTGCTTTATTCGCCTCCATCTTCATGACTTTTGTGGGTTTGGACAGCAAAGCATGTCCTGTTGAATAGATGGGGGCATCAAGTGTTGCTTTTTTTAAATATTTTATCCTACTTCCTGCTGTCAGGCAGGCTCTAATTAAGTAATTTCTTCATTTAACGGGGTGGTTATGAGTCCTGGGTGATGCTGCTGAAACTGAAATGAACGCAGGTTATCTTTGATCATTAAATCTACTTGAGGATCTAAGATATTCCAGGTTTATCACAATAATCTTTTTTGTCTTTTTTTAAGTCCTGCATTTAAGGAAAAAAAGAAACAATCTGATGATCGCAGTAACTGGATGTTGTCTTCCTGCCTCAGCTGTTCAATAACAGAGTACAAAAAAACTGACGAGAAGAAAGGGTCATGACGCAGGTTTAACAGCATGATGAAATTTTATTTAATTACATGTATATAAGTCTGTTTCTGTTAATCATTTAATTAATATTTCCCATAGCATATACAGACTAGAACTCTCAGTAACTCGTCTCTCCTTGACAATCTCAGTAAAACATCTTAAAATAAATCCTTAAACAATCTGGTTGGGCAAATGAAAAGACAAAAAGTCTACGCTTCAAAAAGATTGAAAACACTTTCAATAATAATAATAATAATAATAATAATAATAACAGCAATAAGAGAAACACACTAAAATTTTACCTCCCTTTTATTTAAAAAAAAAGGAGAAAAAAAGCCTATCACCAATAAAATAGCATTAATAATAAGAACAAAGCAAACAGGCTTTAAGACAGGCAGGCCTTTAAAGTCGATCATTATTCCAAAGTAAGAAGTTTGGTCAGGTGGCATGTAACAGGGAGGATATGGTAAAAAAAAAAAAAAAAGTTAGGAGGCCTGTGTGTGCAACACTGAGAATTTATCAGGAGGATTAAAAAAAAAACGAACAGGGGATGATGATCCAGACAGACACAAACGGGTGAGTCTGGGCTCAACAGTGCAGATCCACAAACAGTCTTCACAGCAAGGGGACGACGACGGAGGGTGCATGGCTTGAAAGACAAAGTGCAGACGTGCTGATTGGGTTGGGATTGGACTGAGCGTTCAGGGGGACCAAGGGGAAACAGCTTCTGACAACAAGCAAGGAGGCAGCCCTTTGAGTAAAGCATGACGAAACACTTTGGAGGAAAATGGCAAAAACATAAAAGGATCCAGAGGAAAAAAAAAAACAATCCTAGATTGCTGCTTATGGCTTCAGGAGAACAGCAACTCACATCAAGGTTAAAAGCACAAGATCAAGCCAAGGGAGACCTGCACCACAGGCCATCCAGTGCAGTTTTGGTCCCTTTCTTCTTTTTTCCTAACGGGTCTCAGCAAAAATCAAGCAAATGGTGCCGATTTCTCTGGACTCATGAACATTTGCCACAAAGCAGTGGATCCAAACGGACAGGGAGGGTGAGGAGAGCTGAAGATGCATGGAGAGAGTTTCAGAGAGAGAAGGGACCAGAAATAAGCGCTCTCCATCAGGCAGATATGAGGAAGCAATAGGGCCTTGTTCATATGCAGCAAAAAAAAAAAATAAAACACAGAATGATGAAGACTGGCAGTGCAAAGACAAAAAACAAAATTGAAATTTCTTGGCAATTACCAATGGGTTTGGCATGTAGCGGCAGGGAGAAATCACCGCCGTCACATTAACAGCCAAGTGTTCCCAGCATGCATTGTGTTGTGCAAAAATGCACCGTTCAATAAGAAAACACTGTTTCACTCAGGCTTTGAGGTAACGGGTAGGAGGCTCAAAGCTGCAAAAAGCATAAATAAAGAAATAAATAAAGCAATGAAAAAAGAAGCAGAATGTGTTTGTTTTTAAACATGAAAGAGTGAGTCTTATTAATGAATGCTTCAGTTGGCTGTGACAATAATCACTGGAGGAATGTTATATGGGGGAGGAAAAAAAAGAAAAGGAAAAAAAAAGGGTTAGAGGTACAGTCATGCATGTCCCTGGTGGGTTGGGTTTGTTTCCTGCTGCTTGGGTGCAGCTAGAGAAAAATGCAACTAAACAAGAACTTGAAAGCAAAAAGACGGAGGAGCTTATCTTTTCCGACAAAAGGGACTTTGGTATCACAGCTGCAGTATATCAAGAAGCCATCTTTTCCTAGTCTTTATTCCATTCAATGTGCTTCATGCTGCAAATCCACGTTGGAGCCGTCAGTGTGCTTTGTCTTGGGGCGATTTGTGCATAATTTTTTTTTTGTTTGTTTGTTTTTCTCCCCTATAGGGTCAGTTTCAGGAACGCATGCATTCAACTGGGTTTCCATAACAATAAAAGGAGCAACGGTAAAGAAAACTTGCCAACATGCCACTAAAAACATAAACTCATTGTCTGAAATAAAAAAAAAAAAAAAAAAAAAGACTATAAAACACACACACACACACCAAGTCTGAACCAAATACATCTTCACCCACAAAAACAGGACGAACACATTTAAGAAAAAAAGAAAAAAAATCCAAGATACTCTGTATTTACATGCACACACCTAGCTAGCATCCCTAACCCTGCTGTTTAACCCTTTAAATATTCCAAGCTGTAGCTCCATCCAGATTAAGAGCATTATGGAAGGATGGACTGGAGGAAGTGGGGAGGGGGGGTCGATGAGGAGAAAAAGGTGCCAGAAAAGCCAAATGTGTTAAAAATGGGCATAAAAACAATGAAATATGTGAGATGAGTGAAGAATTTGACGAAAACAAACTAAAAACCGTACCGGTTTAACAGGATAACCCCCCTCCCAATAACAGCTCTTTATACTTAGCTCCGTCCTGCTGTAGAAATGCAAAGATAAGCAGGGAAATGTTTATAGTTGGGGTTTTCACTTTTTTGTTGAGGATGCATTTTTCGCTTGTTTAAACGGTTCGTTCAATCTTCTGGCTCCAAGCCTCGCTACAAAAAAACCCAAAAAACAGAATAAATAAATAATCAAAAACATGAAACATTATCCAACTTCAAATGTAAATCCAATTGAAGTTAGCTTGTTAGTTCATGACATCTAAAAGGAACTGGTTCTAGTGGGATTTTATTTAGGGGTATCTGAGTGAAGCTGGCGTTTCATTCGATGAGAATGTACCTTTACCTCAGCTGGTCGGTCTGACCGTCTGGAAACGAGCCGTCTCTTCAAAGATCATCTGCTTCAGCTTCTCCTTGGGCAGGTCGTCCAGTTCCGTTCTAAAATCAAAGGGCTCGTCCGCGATGGGCTAACACCAGAACACAAAGAGCTTTAATGGCAGCGTCATGACATTAAATCCTTTGATTCATTGTACCGATTTTAAAGTATGCAAAAGGTTAAAGTACAGAGAATTTCAAGAAAAAAAAAGAAAATCATGATTAAACAATGCAGCTAGTATGAAAAGGTGTATAGCTGTCACAATATTCCATTAATCTGCCATAAGCTGACCTGCTGATCAAACTAAACAGTCAATGCACAGCTAAGAGGCTTCCAAGGACAAAGCCCTGAAGCTTACAGTGAAATCCAGATCCTTGGGAGAAAATTGCTGCATAGCTAAAGACTGAAACGCACTTTTTTGGCAGAAAACGAGCCTTTGGAATCACGCTTCTCTAACATGGAAAAGCACCAGCATGAGTGGCTGGTAGTGTCTGGAACCGCAGGGGGCGACAGAACAAAAACAAACGATTACTTCGGCCTCCAAACTCCAATCACCATAGAAACCTTTCAAATAGGAAGCCGCGCCGAAGCTGTAGAATTAATTATCTCTACTTTCACCATTAGTGATCATATCAGCATGTCATAAAAGGTCAACATATGCCCTATGCTGAACTTACTCCCCCTCAGTTCCCTTCGACAGACCACAGAACACCTTGCTTTTATCAAAGGGACGCAGTCTCACCTCGTCAGTTGGATCGTAGTACTGCTCCAGGTATGGATGAGCTAGAGCTTCCTCCACAGTGATGCGGTTGTTGGGGTTAAACGTCAACATGCGATGCAACAGGTCCAAGGCTTTAAAGAAGAATAAAGACTCTGTTAGCCAGCCTGTCCTCTGCGTTTACTCCAATAAACTAATAAAAAAAATTACATCCGTTCATGATAAAGTACATTATGGTTTATCCAGACATATCGCTCTTCTATCTCCTTAAAATAAATCTTACAAATGTTGAATAAACGCAGCTTCAAATAATAATCTATATTTAAATGCTAGGCCTTGTTTTTTTTTCTTCAAAATTGAACCTGACTGATGCATTCATTAAAAAATTATCTTTAAATGTGAATTTTACATTAATTCTGGAATCAATATATCAAAATACACAATAATGCATGCATACATATATAATATATTTATTTTTGTTTCATATCTGTTCAAACAGTATTAAGATAAAGATTTGCTAATCTGCATTTAGCATAACATAAAATAAAACTCCAGATGTTCTTTTAAACTTCACCCTGTGCAGAAAGCTTTGTCACTCTGCAGCTAAATAAGTCCACAAAGCAGAATGGGATGCCCTGCAGAGGATAGTGAGGGGAGCCTAAAGTTTGTTTGATGAAAGCAATATACACAGAATGAATCTCCGATTGTAAACGGCTGTATGTAAAGTTGAAGTCTGCAGATTCATGGATGCCTTTAAACAGGCCGCAGTTTCATTACTCTGATGTACTTTCCCTCCTTTTCCAAACCTTGAACAATATCTCTAACAGCTGCTGTGTGTCATTTCACCTTTTGGGTCTGCTTTGGGGAAGAGCGTGTCCCAGGGAAGTCTGGGTTTGTGCGGCAGGGAAAGCAGGTAGTTCCGAGCCTTCACGTTAATGATGCAGTTCAGATCTTCCTGGGTTGGTGAGCCGAGTATGCCTGCACACACAAATGGTTGAGGCTGATTATCTGCTTGTTTGTTGTTGTTTTTCTCCCCTAGTAAGGCTGCAAGGAAAACTTTTATTTTCATTTTTTTAAGATCTCACCCAATATATGGTTCAATTGGTCCAAGTAGTGTTTCCCAGGGAAGATGGGTTTGTTGGTCAACATCTCAGCCAGAATGCAGCCCACAGACCAGATGTCAATGGACTTGGAGTAGCCCTGAAAAAAACCCCAAAAACATTCACGGATCATTATGTGGATGTACCATGAAATATTCAAGCCGTAAAAACACAAAAAGTGTCTTTCACCCCTTACCTTTGAGTTGAGCATAATTTCTGGGGCTCTGTACCAACGCGTGGCTACGTACTCGGTGAGGAAGCCTGTGTGGTCGTGCACCGGATCGGCTATCCGAGCCAGGCCGAAGTCACAGATCTGAGAAAGACAGCAGGGGTTAAAACTAATCCAACTGGAGCCAGAAGATCCACATTTCAGATCTGCCTCTAAAGTCTAAACAAGTTCATAGAATAATGTGCGGGAAATCCAGCAATTGATAACATGCCTGGCATCGATTAGAGCTTAAATCAGTCAACAAGCTGGTTTATTTTTCATTATTACCGTATTTACTGTGAAGGTTAATTGTCTCTAAATTGTACCTTTTTTCAGGGCTCTATGCAGATCACAGCCAGTAAAACATGCTCACCATGGGCACTAATGTTTAATCTTCATCATTTCACCGGTTTCGATTTGTGCTGAAAGCGCTGCCTTCGTTTTCCTTCCTTCACTTCATGATCAGCTAATCAAGCACTATACTGCAAACCCTGATAGGTTCTTTTCAGAAAATAAAAACAAGACTTGAGACGAGGCTGTAAAATTACTTAGATCTTTAACCTTTTATAGGGTAAGTTACAGTTTTTGATCACTTGCATAGCCCTTAGAAATGGAGTCCCCCCATCCCTCCTAACACCTAAAGCCATGTTGTTGCAGTATCTTTGCTGAACGGCTGGATATAAATCTAGACCAGGGGTCGGCAACCCGCCGCTCTTTAGCATTCCCCTTGCGGCTCCCTTTTTTTTTCTTTTGTTTTAATATGGTGTGCAGGAGGTCAGACAAAAAATAATTATGTTTTCCAATAAATAAATTTAAACAATAATTTGCGTTATAGCCATAGAGATCAGTGGTCATAACTTGCAACCAGCGCTGCGCAGTGCCAGGCTGCTGGAGTGTCTCGGACCATGGATCCCAAAGGGGAAAAAAGGAAGATAGCTGATGAGAAAAGAGGACTCAAAGGATGGACCGAATCATTTTCTTCATTATCAATGCGGAACGATTGCCTGCATTTTTGCTTGGTAATGAGAGGTTGGCAAAAAAAATAAAAATAAAAATTTGGAAAGGCATTTCCAGGGAAGGCAGGCTAAATATGCAGCCAACAACCAAGCTGGGAGGGAGAGAAAAATGGTGATTGCAGAACTTCTGGATAAATTAGAGGAGAGCAAATTTAGATTTAAGAAGTGGATTACATCGCCAAACTCCACTACTGCTGCTAGTTTTGTTGCAAGGATGGAAAACCGTCCACAAATCGAACAGGTAGAGCTCTGATGCAGGGATGGGAACTTTCTTCCATTTTCTCCCCAAATCGTAAAAATATAAATCACACCAAGGAACGCTGGGATGGGGGATTTCAGGGTTAGAGAGCTCTGCTCTGATGGGTGTCAGTTCCTCCTTGGTTCCTCATGACTCAATCAACTCCTCCCAACAGAAACATGTCTACCAGAGAGATTCCTTGATCCTGTTTCTATAATTTAATCAATGCAACAAAACCTGTGTTATTTTTGCATTTAACAAATTAGATGAGCCCTTGAATGATTTATCATCTACTCTAAATTAAATAAAAAAAAAGGTTACTAAGTTAAAAAAAAAAAAATTTTAAAAGCTAAACGAAAAGTCAAAAAGTAAAAGTTAAAAATTTAATAAGCTAAATTAAACAATTAAAAATATCAGCATTAATGCATCTAAGGTTATGCTGTAACAAAAAAATAGTTTAACTGTGAGTGTTTTCATGAATTTCTTATAGAACCACTTTTGTTATTATATAACAAATTATTATTACATAAGGCCATATAAGGCAAGTTTGCCATAAAATATTTGCCATTAAAATATATATATATTTTTTGAACGTTACTAAAGTAATAAAGGTCCTGTCCTCCAATAAAACTCTTGGCTTGAAATTTTGATTTTCAAAGTATTTCAATTTAGCATAAAACAAACAATCTACCTCGGCTTAATAAAAGTCTTGCTTTTTTTGTACAAACTATAAAACGTAATGGATTTTATGCAATAAATTAATCAAAAAATATCCCATAATGCTGAGATGGATGAAAAAAAAAAAAAAAAGACATTTCATTTTCAAATATTTTTTTTTCTGTTAGTAAAGATGTGTGTGGCAGGCATTTTTTTTGATCCCCTTCAACTGAGGTTAAGGAGCAGCTGACTGGCAGCTTCTATTAAGGTCTCAATATTGTGTCTTTCTAGTGATTAGAGAGTCAGTCACTGATACGAGATAAATGAAAATCCAGCAGTTTGGTTCAGTATAACGAGACAGGAAACGCACTACTGAATCGATTCATGACAGAAAAATGAACCGTGTTCTTCACGTCACATCGCAATATTCCAGTGAAGTATGATTATGATGATGGCAGCGTCATGCGGTGGGGATGGGTTAAAAAGTTCGTCATTTTAAAGTCACACAATCATTTTAGAAACAAACATGGAAACCACCTGTACATGTTGGTTTCTGCTAAAACGGAAAAGTCAGACAAAAAAAAAGGGAAATGTGACACTTTTACAACTTATGAAACTATAAGGTATTTAAAAAATAGCATCTGGCCAAGAGTTAAAAGCAGCTGTCACCTACTGGGAGCATTTGGATTCAGAGCAGCTGATCAAGCCTATGAAAAGGCCATGAGGGACTGAGGCTGCCAACGTATAATTCGTATAACTCTCACCTTGAGGTCGCAGGTGGTGTTGATGAGCAGGTTGGAGGGCTTCAGGTCGCGGTGCAACACGTTGGCAGAGTGAATGTACTTGAGCCCCCTCAGGATCTGGTAGAGGAAGTAGCAGACGTGGTCGTTGCTCAGCCGCTGGGTCTTCAGGAGCTTGTACAAGTCTGTCTCCATCAGTGTCTGCACGATGTAGCTGGGCAGATTCTGGGGTCAAGGCGTACAACCCTTTTCTTCTAAATTCATTCCACTCTAAACCAACTTGCACCTTTTCGTCTCTTAGTGAAAGCATTGAAACTGCGTAATTTTTAGAAGCAATGTGAAACATATTTCGCAATGAGCGTGTTCCTCTAACCCGACTGTGGTGAACCATGAAAAAAGCCACACAGAGAAAGAATAACAGACTGTACAGATATAGAAACGAAACAACCTGACCTTTCCTCTGGATCCACAAGGAATTGAAATAAAACTAAACAGTGTAATGTTTAGCATTGCTCCTTAAATCCATGTAAAACAGCGTAATTAACAAAAGTTTAGATCATTGTTACATAAACGTTACGCCCAAAGTCTTCAACTGATGCTTGAAAGCTGCATGCATTGCTTTAAAAAAAAGAACTATTAGGGCTGCAGAAAATGTTGCTAACCTTACTGCATTATTACTAAAACAGCAGACCTGCACAGTCTGTGTTATATGCTCGCTAATTGCACACCATCAGTATCCTATTTCCCAATTAAACCGGGCCGTTGACTAATTTCTGATGATTTTTGTAGCCGTTAAGCAATGAACCCAAAGCAGACAGGAGGTACTGATGGGAAGCACTCATTCCACAGGATTATTTTTCATGCAGCCCTAGTAATACTGTAGATTAGAATGACCTTAGCTTCAGATGCAGACACTTGTCTGGTAAAGGTCCTGATAAATCTTTAAAATAGAACATTACTGAACTACATCTTTGTTTCTAAAATGTTACACAAATGAGCCTTTCATTGTTTGATGAGGACCTATATTTATAGGAATCATCCCAGATGAAGCAGATTCATTGTTAAATCCAGATTAGGACGTGTGATGCTGAGGAGAGATTTCAAAATTAAATTCGGACAGATTCTCCTGAAAAAAAAAAAAAAAAACCTGTAAAAATTAAACTTCCTTCATGAATATCTCTGACCTAAATCTAGTAGAAACCTTGCAGTGTCAGCAGCTAACTCTGACGTTACAGAAGAGCAAATAATGTCCCATTTAGCAAAACCGCATTGAGTACCAACAGCCCAGGAATCATAAAAGCCAAATCTATCTGACTCAAATCGTCATTGTGACATCATGCTCCGTTACATTTATTTTAGTGCTTCCTCTGCATTTTTCGCCCAAAAGTTCTGATAAATGTGGCTACCGATATGTTGAAAGATGAAGTTGAGTGTTTTCACTCTGAACGTGCCCCAAAAAGCATGGCAACCAGAAAGGGAGGAGCTATTCTTTGAAAAAAAAAGAAAGAAAAGAAATCGACCTTCCTAGATTGAAAGGCTGCCATAGCAACTAGAGAGGTAAAATATCCACTCCAGTTGTCTGCATTGATACAACACGGGTGTTTATAGCAACCGCTTTGTTGATAAGAAGCGTATCGTTAGATCTCCGCTGCTGGAAATGAACCCGTCTGTATTTCCTCTCATTCACAAACTCCTCTAAAAGGTGCAACATTGCTAGACTAAAGCAAAGGAAACAATGAAGCTTTTTTTGATAAAAAGCGACTCTTGGTGAGAGCAGCTCGCTGGCGGGCCGAGCTCAGCCATCAATGACAAACTAGTGATGTGTTAGAGTAACCCTGGACATTTATCAATTAATTTTCATCCACACCCATTTTAGTTTATCTAAACTTTTAGCTGTGATGATGAAATAGTGTCAAAACTGGCCAGGCTGAGGGTTTAAAGTATTTTTCAGACATGACTTGTATAGCGACTTCTACTTACCGTAAATTAATTTTATGAAAACTGTATTAATCAAAATCAGTGTTGTTTTTTTGTAATCACCAAAGCTATAATTGTCAAACTAGAATTAAAAAACATTTTTGTTAAGTAAAATAGAAATAAGAAATCCAACTGAAACTGTAATAAGTTTTAAAAAACGAATTACAGCAACTGAAGTTCAATTGAGAATGTGTTAATTTGCTTATCTTTATCATAACGCATTAATATGAAGTCTGGTTTCCTGGTTGCTGTGATGCAGGTAGGAGAGTCAGGTGATCTGTGTTGCTGCAGCAGTCGCTCCTTATTTGTTTCTTTGTCTACCCCTGTATGTTAGCGGCATTACTCTACATAAAAGATTAAAAACATAACTGAAACTGATAAAAACGGAACTGAAATGGAGCTTTTTCAAAAATAACCTAAACTAAACCATCTAAAAAACACAGCTCAATTACAACTAAAATAAGATTGAAAATCAGGAGTCGAAACTAAATAAAATCTAATGAAAATGTATAAATGTTTTAAAACCTTGGTTATTATTCCTAAAACTAATATTTAAAGTCTTACATTTGCAGAAAACTCGAGAACCTAAAAGAAGATCACGAGTTTTCGCCTCACTTTAGGGATTTTTCAAACATCTGCATTGAAAATAAAAAGTTATTCTATGGACAGGTTAATATACAGAAATGTAATTTTTGCATAATAGGGTGGAGAAAGGGGGATGTAAACTGTAACACACTAAAAATATTGGGAGCCTCATAAAAGGATAAAAAGATTTATAGTTTACTGGCAAGATATATCAAAAGAGGAAAAGTACAACTAATTAGATGCATTTTGGGATATTTTATGCATGTTATACATCAAAACAGCACTTTTTAAAGGATGTATTAGGTGACTGCGATCCTAAAAGTTCTGGCAAAGTGTTTTTTTCCCAGCCTTTTTTTTTATTGTCATTACACTGTCACAAGTACAGAGTAACTAAATTACCTCTCTGTGTTTAACCCATCCCCTTTGGGAGCAGTGGGCTGCCATTGTGCGGCGCCCGGGGAGCAGTGTCGATTTAAGGGTTTTTTCCTCAGGAACCCATAGTGGAGGCTGTGGTGATTGAACCGGTTACTTGCAACTTTCTGCTCTAACTACTAGGCCATCACTTCCCCCATCAATGATGGGTGTTAGCAGGATGCTCCAGCCCTGGTTCAGATACAGTAGTCTGATTTAGTGGGGCCATTTTTATGTGCAACGGGTAGAAAACCGAATGAGGGGATCCCCCCTAAAGGCTGACCTCAGTTACTTTCACTTTCTGTGCCACCATCACTTTAACCTCAAAGAAAAAAAAAACTCCAAACTGATCAACTGCCTGCTATTCAGCTCCATTTGAGTCATTTACATTCAATATAACTCCTAACAGAGCGCATTTTATAACGCATTTCTGTTTTAACTTCCTCGGGGGAAAAATGTCCTGTTAGAGTTTGACGGGGTTGGAAGGGGCGGATAATCCTGCCTAACTGACAGATCTAGAACTGATCCATCCTGTTTAACCTCGTCGGAAGGCTCACACCACCTGAAATAAATTGGACTGGAGCAGAGGTGCAAAACAATGAAACAGCATAACCTGCTGCAATGAATTGTGGGAGCGCGGGGCTCTCAGCACAACTCCTTTTCAGGTTATTAAATGTAGCAAGAACAGATGATAAAACTAACACAGGGAGCCACAAACAAACAATAAAATTGCCTAACTTTGACACGGACAGGCCTTCGCTGTCTCGGCTGAAGGTTTCCCTTCAGTTCACCTTGAAATTAGAAAAACTCAGACAATCTTAGGATACACATCTCTCATGTTTTCCAGCTGCTGCGCCCGGATGATGTCATTGATCCCGATGATGTTCTCATGCTTGAAGCGCAGCAGGATCTTGATCTCCCTCAGCGTACGCTGGCAGTATGTCTGGTGTTCAAACGGGCTGATTTTCTTGATGGCCACTCTGCGTTGGGTCCAGTTGTCCAGGGCTGCACTGGATATGGTGAAAGCAGGGACAAAACCAGGCGTGGCATTACACACTGCACAATTTACACACAAATCAAATGTCTGCAGCAGGAGCTGAGAAGATGCATAGCTCAGATTTCTTTGTAAACAGGCATTATAGAGAGCTGTAGAAAGGTGTGGTGTGCAACGTGCGTGACATGCTGTGAGAGAGTAAGCTTTATCTATGTGCTACTTCCTTTGTTAGGGTTATAGAAGTTGGGTTTTGCATTACACTTTGCAAGAGAAAAGATATTACAGCATAGCTCTGCTATCTGCAAAAAACACCCAACTGCATATTTCACTAATTCAGTTGACAGAAATTGGACAATTTATCGACGATAAATGATTTGCAGGTCAAATATTACAAAAATCGACTTCATTTCAGCTATGCATTGAATGCAAAACAGCTGAGAGTTCAATTCATTTCCTGTATATAAAAGCATCAAAAAAGTGCTTTGCCACACCTTTGTTTGTGGTTAGATTAAAAAAGAGGTTCGATGGGAGCAATCTGCAAACTTAACCTGATGTTCAGACTGCTTCACGAACATGAGGTTAGATGGTTTTTGTAAAGACTGAAAATTCAAATGAATTAGTGTAAAAAAACTACCATACATCATCTTCCGCTTATCTGGGGTCGGGTCGCGGGGGTAGCAGCTTCAGTAGGGAGGCCCAGATGGGCCTCTCCCCAGCCACTTGGGCCAGCTCCACTGGGGGAATCCCAAGGCGTTCCCAGGCCTACTGAGAAGCGTGTCCTGGGTCTCCTCCCGGTGGGACGTGCCCAGAATACTTCCAGAACAAGTCCAGGAGGCATCCTTACCGATGCATGAGCCACCTCAACTGGCTCCTCTCTATGTGGAGGAGCAGCGGCTCTACTCCGAGTCCCCCCCGGATGACTGAGCTCCTCACCCTATCTCTAGGGAGAGCCCAGACACACTACGGAGAAAACTCATTTCAGCCGCTTATATCCAGGATCTCGTTCGTTCGGTCATCACCCATAGCCTATGACCATAGATGAGGGTAGGAACGTAGACCGACCGGTAAATCAAGAGCTTTGCTTTTGGGCTCAGCTCTCTCTTCACCACAACAGACAGGTACAGCGCACGCTTCACAGTAGACACCGCACCAATCCGCCTATCGATCTCCTGCTCCATCTTTCCCTCATTCATGAACAAGACCCCAAGATACTTAAACTCCTCCACTAGGGGCAGTACATCCTCCCCAACCCGGAGAAGGCACTCTAACCTTTTCCAGCTCAAGACCATGGTCTCGGATTTTAGAGGCACTGATCCTCATCCCGGCCGCAAACCGCTCCAGTGAGAGCAGGACCCCCCCAAGGGACATGGTTGACCGCCTTCTCCAGATCCACAAAACACATGTTCACTGGTTGGGCAAACTCCCACGCACCCTCCAGGATCCTGCTGAGGGTGTAGAGCTGATCCAGTGTTCCACGGCCAGGAGGGAAAACCACACTGCTGCTCCTGAATCCAAGTGTCGACTGTCCGTTTTCAGGACCCCAGAATAGACCTTACCAGGGAGACCAAAGAGTGTGATTCCCCTGTTTTTGGAACACACTCTCAGAGCCCCAGGCTCTGCTTTCTCAGTGGATGATGTGTTGCTGGGAGTAAGGACGTCTTCGAAGTACTCCGCCCGCCGACACACAATGTCTCGAGTCGAGGTCAGGAGCACACCACCCCCACTATAAATGGTGTTGGTACTGTGCTGCTTCCCCCTCCTTAAACGCCGGATCGTGGACCAGAATCGCTTCAAAGCCCTAGGGAAGTCTTTCTCCATGGCCGGACTTCCGCCGGGCAGAGTTGATGAATTTGAGATACATCAACCAAAACTCCTAATGCACCATAATCAATTCAGTTTATTTATATAGTGCCGATACACAACACATGTTATCTGAAGGCACTTTACAGTTCACCAGATCATCCAGTCAAATTGACTCAAAGTTTTCTATCTAAGGAAAACCAGCTAATTGCATTGACTCTTCAGCAATCCCTCACACTAAGCATGCTTGTAGCGACAGTGGAGAGGAAAAACTCCCTTTTAACAGGAAGAAACCTCCAGCAGAAGCAGTCTCAATGTGAGTGGCATCTGCCAAGGCCGACTGGGGTTCAAGGAGACAGAAGCAATCCTCATCAAGTAGAAGAAAATAACACACCTGTTCAGTCCTACCTCTATTCACTTAACCAATTAAGTTATTTAAATAAAAAAATAATTGCAGCTCAGTCCTAAAACCTAAAACCATTAATTGGTATCATTTCCAGGGGGAAATGCTATTTCTATTTTTGCAGACCAGCTGATCCTCCTCCACTGAACCAAACAGTTTGCAATGTTTACAAACACCAACTGCAGGTATGGAGGCATCCCATGCAGGAGATCATGCAAGCAAAACAGGGAACCAGATAGTGAGACATGCTGATATGAATGTTCCAGTGGTGGGAGCAGAAGGTCCAGCTCACACACACAGAGATGCAGATCACATATGGTGATACCAGGAGGCAAAGGCCTTATTAAATCCAACAAATCCTTCCTGCGAGCTACAGCTTCTTCCTGCAGACCGATGAGAAGTTCAGAGTCTAAAAGCTGTGGTCCACTCAGCCTTTACAGCACTTCTGAGGCTAAGTGCAGTTTGCAGACAGATTTCTGTAAAGTAAACCACGTCCTGCACAATCACTCCAGATCTGGTTTCCTATAGTGCAAATGATGATGGACTCATGCCCTGATTGATGGAGATCAGATGTTAGCTAGCTAGCAGTACTCACCACACCATCCCGTACGCCCCCTCACCGATGTACGCCAGGTTAGTGTAGCGGGGTCCGACGTCAAATATCTGCCCCTTCACCGTCTCCACTTCTGCTTTTGGTAAACGGGGCGGGGGCGCTGCCTCCTCCGGTCCGGATACTGTCATGGGTTCGGTTATAGTGCGGGCAGGAGCGGAACCAGACGCTGCGCCAGAACCAGGGGCCGCTGCTCCCTCCGATTTGGAGACGGAAATGGGGATGGTTTCAGGTGCAGAGACAGTGCCAGGACCTGCGTCGTTAGCGGCGGCGCCAGCATCGGAGTCCGCTCCAGGATCAGTCACAGCACCGGGATTAATTGCTTTGCCCGGCCCGGTTGTATCAACAACAATTTCAGAGTCTTCGGCCTCGACGGGGACATCGCTGCACGGATCCGCCATTCTTTCTCTTAAAAAAAATACGTTCCCGCTCTCTTTGGGTGTTACCTTCCGCTGTTTTCAGTGAGGTTTCCCGGCTTTCCGAGGCTCAACGACGGCGGATAATTGTTTAGAGGGACCGGAGCGCATCGAGCAGAGAGGGAGGATGTAGTGCTCCTATCTACTACCAGCACCGTAAATGGATTTGGTGCGCGAGCGTGTCTCTGGTCTCAGTGCTTAGCGTAAATGCGCGTGCAAAACTACGGCATCGTACAGGTGCGCTGGATATGTTTACAGGGCTGTATTATTAGGGCGGGGCAAGAGCGCTATAAAAGAGAACAAAACAAGCGCATTTGGAGGGAGCAACAGTCTTCAGTAGGTGTGTCAAAGAAAACAATGACGCCGATATGTCAGTACGTCCACCATATTGGGAGGGGCAAGTCTGCTTGGAGGTTAGGGGTTTAATTTGTATGACGCCTGAAAATTACCTTAATCTAATTCCAGTATACCATTTGCTAATATTAAGTATTGTAGTTTATGGTAGTACCTGTAAGGTTGATAAAATAATGTGGAAAAACAACATTATAAAATAAACCCCAGTGTGTTATGTGGAAAGGTACCAGAAATGTTAAAAATTTGTTTGCTTTTATAAAAGGTTCTCGTTAATCGCGTTAATTCACTCAAAGCCAACGTTTTAATTAAGTTGTCCGTTTAATTTTAATCTTGTTATGCAGTATTTTTTTTATTTGGTGAATAACATATCCGCAATATTTAGTTGTCTATGAAAATATAGCAAGCTGTTATATTTAACCTATTTCTAGTACAAGCATTTGTCTGAAGTTAATCTTTGCAATTGTATAAATAATGCAAGATACTGTGTGGCTCCCTTGCTTTTCCTGATGTCAATATCTCAACCATAGAGGTAAAAATATTATTCTACTGTCTGATAATGTAGAATCAACTTTTGTTGACTCTAGGGGTGTTAAACCACTTCTTCTGTATATACTTATTCGTGTTAGGATTTCTCAGAAACGTAAAATTCTGTGATATATTCTGTGATATACAATTTACAACTTCAGTGACTCCTGCAGTCTAAGCACTGTGGTATAATGTGTATATAGAACATTGATCTGTCTGGTTTGCTCTTATTTCTGCTTCTCCCTTTTTTTTTCTTTTTGCCATAACGAAAACAAAGAGAAGAGTCTGGCGTGCCACTTACCGTAACTACTGTTTATATATATATATATATATATATATATATATATATATATATATATATATATATATATATATATATATATATATATATTCAAAATTTATTTAAATAAAATGAACCTCAAATAAATAAAATTTATTAAAATAAAAATAGAGAGTCGTTGTTTTTAATCAACTGTATCAACAAAGCACTGCTGCATTAAACAGACAGAAAGTATAGATAGATAGATAGATAGATAGATAGATAGATAGATAGATAGATAGATAGATAGATAGATAGATAGATAGATAGATAGATAGATAGATAGATAGATAGATAGATAGATAGATAGATAGATAGATAGATAGATAGATAGACGAGTTTTAATGGCACCTTTCAATTTTTTCCATCAAAATCGCTAGAAAGCATCTGTATTATTACTTTATCGGATAACTAATGGTCTGAATCGTGTCTCCATGGAGATTACTGCGTCTGCACGCAACCTCCTACGTCATCACGCAATGCGGTACACTTCCTTTTTCGATACATGAGCAGGGAGTGTAGATTACAGATCAATAAAGCCTCTCTCCAACTGGAATTAGTCGGGGTTTGTTTTTGTATCTTAAGAATACAAAATTAAAAAATAGAATCTAATAGATGTGAAGTAACGCTGCTACACACTCATGTACAGTAGGTGGCGGTATGCACCTTAAAGTTGCTTGTGATCCGCCATAATAGAAGAGAAGAAGAAGAAGAAGAAGAAGAAGAAGAAGAAGAAGAAGAAGAAGAAGAAGAATTAGTCGGGGGTTTTTTTTTTTATACGGGTTGACCCGCTAACAGGCGGAATTTATCACCTTTCCCATTAGCAAAAAAACTGGATCCGTCCCCCCGCTGGAAGGCTCTGTACACACACTGCTGCGTATCAGGTGGAGCCATGACGCTGGGTTAGCGTGTTTATATTGATCAATGCTCCTTTCTCTTCCTAGACGACGCTGGGCGGGAACGATTCGTCTGGCGATCACTCTGCTCGGTCTGCCATTTACCATCTGCACCCCTGCAGCCAGGTATGAGCATCCCAGCCGGAAACACTAACTTTATTTGTTGGGATTTAAACTAAAGAGAAAGTAGATTAATATACCTTTGTGTCTTCCGAAGGAGAAGCATGATCTCTGCTCTTTTCTTTCTTTGCTGTCCTCTTTAGACGTGCCGTTCTCTGCTCATCCCATCATATCACCAGAACCAGTAAACCTGTCTGTGGGAGTTATTGTAACCTTTACACCACCAGTATCTGGACAATGCCTTGCTCAGCAGCTCCTCATGTAAAGCCCAGATGTCCACAGTATCCTGGGTCCACCATCAAGCGCTTTCCTGTTCCTGATGACAAGGTGGAGTGGAGCCAGAGCTGGCCCCAGTATCAGCCAGTCTGCTACACTGCTCCAGCTGTTTTAAAGGCGCCTTCCTGGGCTGACCCTGAGATTGGGTGAGCAAGGCTTTCTTTTCACAAAATGAGAGTTTGATGACTATGGATGATTTGATCAGAAGCTATGAGTTGATTTATCTACAAAAGTGTTCCCCTCGTTTGTCGATTTCACATCAGAGCCATAAGGTATAATGCATGTTAACCTGGATTTTATGTGATAGATCAAACCAAACTAGTGCGCGATTTGAATTGGAAGGTGACTGATGTTTGGTTTTTCAACTTTATTTATTTATTGCAAATGAAAACACTAAAAAGTGACTCGTTATTTGATATTCTGTTCCCCAGATTTAAAGTTTTGAAGATCAACTTTTTGGTGCAACTAAAGCTGCAAACGTTTAAAGTTTTGTCTCTGTTTTCTTTATATCCAGAGGCTAATATCTGAGCCATTCAAGCTCAATCAGACTTACTTACTTCAGTTTGTTGATTGCATTTCTGTCTGGACTTTGACTAGGCCATTCTAGGTTAGCCCTGTACTTTATTTAGGTCCATCCTTATTCACAGCAACTCTGACCAGTTTTTCTATCCCTGCTTAAAAAAAAAAGTCTCCAGATCAGGATTATTAATGCATAAGTTTGAATTGTATTAACTTGTTAGTAGGGATGCACGATATAATCGGCCCCCTATCGGTATCGGCCTTAAAACTGAATATCGGACATCGGCCACCCCACCGATATTTAACCCGATATTTGATCAGCTTCTGGGTTTCTAAAGTCTTAAAAAAAAAAAAAAATAAAATACTACTTCTTCTTCCTCAAAAACTTCTTTTTTACAGACTTAAAAACTTCTAAAGACGAGGGAAAAAAATATTGATACATTAAAATATCACAATATCTTCATATGTTGATATATTGCCATTTAAAAACACCATATCAATCTCTTTTACTAATGAAATATTGCTATATGTCATCGTTATGCTACGAAATAGCCCGAAAATTCACGAAATTTTGCCATATTTTTATATGTTGATATATTGACGCGGTATCAATGTATTTTACTAACAAAATCTCACAAGAATTTGCAAAATATCACGAGAGTTTGTTACAGAACCATGAAATTTCACGAGATTTTGAAAGTAAAATAGATCGATACCGCGTTTTTAAAAATCAATTTGATATCAGCATATGAAAATATATTTGAGTATATTATTTTTCAAAGTGTCAGAAATGGATAATAAAACTGCTATTTTCAATGACTACTTATTTTTGTCCAGCTTTATCATCGGTATCGATATCGGTTATCGGCTACATGAGTTTTAAAATATCGGCATGTCGGATATCGGCCAAAATCCCAATATCGTGCATCCCTAGTTGTTAGTGCTGTTAGTTTTACAAGAGTTTTGTTAGATCATCAGAGTTCAGGAAACTGAACAGAAATGCACACCAAATTATTTTAAAATGCTTCCCAGCCATGAGCTAATGCCTTTGGATCGTTTGCTCATCTTGCAGATCCTTCTCTCCAAAGTTCAATGCTGTGGATGGTGCTGTGGACAGGACAAGCTTTGAAGGAAGCTACAAAGTGGAAAATGGAAAACCACTGTAAGTTGAATAGGAATTTACTGCACACCTCTTGAATCTGGTTAATGACCTCATATGATGCAGCAGTTTTTTGCAGTGCAAAGCTGAAGAATAAAATATGAGCCAGACCTAATAAATCTTTAATATGAATGCACAGAAAGCATTTGGACTCTAGCTATCTGGGGGTGCTTGTTCCTGTGTGGATGACTACCAACCTGCTTTTTCCTCATTACTGACTAGCTGTTATTTTTGCAGAACTAATGTCTTCTTACTCTTCCTAGAAATCCTTGTGGACGGACTGGTTTGACTGGAAGAGGTCTGCTTGGACTGTGGGGGCCCAATCATGCTGCTGATCCTATCGTCACAAGGTAGGTTATATTCATGTTTGTTTGTTTAAATAAGTCAGATCTCATTATCTAGAATTTAAACTAGTGTCCTTTCATTTGCAAAAAAATTACAGTTTTGGTTGCAAAATTCTATCTATTCATATTTTCTATGAAAATTGTATTTATTTTTTTGGTGTAGCGTTCAAAAAACAAAGCAGTGCATATGAGCATACCTAAAATGTGACGGATACTAACCGTAGCCTCTTCTTTTCCATTTTGAGTGCCATTTTACAGATCCATGCAGTTTTATCGTTGCCATAATTAGACCAGAGGGGAGCAGCCCCCTTGATCTTCTAATTAAGTCCTGATTCATTCAGCCCTGCTCCAGCCCAGGCTGATGTCGCTTTCTCATTTGGGTACAGTTCTCTAGTTTTTTAGATCCGAGCGTTGCATGAAGATGGCTTGAGTTACATTAAATTAATTTTAAGATAAACAAATCAAGTGTTTTTTATACAGCACATTTCACTAGCTAGATTATTCAAAGTGTTGTACATGGGAAAAAAACAACAAAAAAAACATAGGAAAACACGCAGACACAAACACCTGCATTCCGGTGGCATAAAGGTATTCTAAATCATTGATGAACATGAATACTTAAAGAGATAAAAAATAACTATTAAAATGATAAGATAATAATAATAAAAAAAAGATTGATAATAAATCGACAGAAAGTTTGACTGCAAACTTGAACCAATAGTATCCACATACCAGGAAACGACCATCTGTACCAAAATGGACGAGACAAACCAGTTTAGGAGAAAAATTTAAAGGTAGAAGCAGGAGGTTTTCAAACCTTTAAACATTGAATGAAACTTCCAAGCATGGTGGTGGCAGAATTTTGCTGAGAGGTTAGATTTGGTCTCAGTGGTACTAGTGTGTTGTAGAAAGATAGTTAAAACTTCATCTGGTGGTTAAACTGAAAAACTCATCAAAACTGCACTGAATATTATTCAATCAAAGCTTGTTCTCAATAAAAAATAAATAAATTGTGGTCAAAACTTTCGGATTTGTAACCAAATCTTTTGATATTGTAATGAAATATATTTTTTATGGAAATAAATTTCCATTAAATACATTTAAGGGAGGCTGACGTTAAACTTCAAGGTTTACTTCATAATCCAGCTACAGAGCCAGACTATTGCTGATTTCCCTGCAACATAAATGTAATTTAAGTGTGCAAATTTAAGAGCTCCAAAGCCAAATGATTACATGTATGTCCATGATGAGTTCAGGTTAACTGTAGATTATTGTTTCCTTTTTACTCTCCATGTGGCAGATGGAAGGTGGATGCCAGTGGAGCTAAGGTTCTTCACACAGCCTCCAAAAAGCCAATCCTACAGTTTGTGTCCATCAAGAGGAAAGACTGTGGAGAGTGGGCCATTCCAGGGGTAGGTAGCAGCTTTGATTGCTGTGTTTTATTTCATAAAATATGTGTTTTTTATAGTGGTTATGTTATCCAGTTATGAAGAGTGTATCTTTATCATCAACCATTTCCCCAGATATTTTTGCACATGTTAAAGTTGGACATTGATACATGAGACTCTCCTCTCTAATGCTTTAAAGTACTTTTTTGTCTGCTTGTTTTCAAAGGGAATGGTAGACCCAGGGGAGCAGGTTTCCCTCACGTTGCAGCGGGAGTTCTCGGAGGAAGCCCTGAACTCGCTTTCCTTCAAAGAGTCTGAGAGAAAAGCAATCCATCAACGTATCAAAAAACTTTTTGAGGCACCCGGGTTTCAGGTGAGTATCAGGCTCAGAACAAGCATTTTATGTCACATTTCCACCATGTACACATTCCACAGTAAAAACCGAGGATGGGTGGGTTCACACATCTGAATAGTTCACCGTTACTGTAGATTCACTCTTTGAAACCTTAGAGAACTGTAATTCATTAGATTTTATGTGACCGACCATTAAAACATGGTGCAGAAATACGAAGATAAATGAAAATTGTGACCTGAATTTATGATCATCAAGAAATTCTTACACCAGGCTGGTTGGTGAATGGGTTGTAAAGGGTTTTAATGTAGACCTAATTTATTTATTTATGGTATATTTCAAAAACAAAAGTGGAGGAACATTTGGATGTGTCAGCTAATCCTACATCCATACAAAAGCGGATTGTTGCGCTGCACATCGAGCAAAGCATGATGGAGGCAGACACTGAACATAGGGAGTGTAAAGCTGGCCTTTTATTAAAGAAAGAAACAAAATTTCAGCGTAGGAGTGCAAAGACGTGTGGAAAAAGATGGTTGGACAAAGTCAGGGTCTAATGTGCTAAAAGCAAAGGCAAGCCCACTTTCTTTTTTCTATTATTTATGCACTTCTTAGCTTTTTCAGATACATAAAATACACTGGAAACATAATCAAATTTGAAAAAGATCTGGCAACTTTTGGAAGAAACGCTCTTTAGGCCCATTTACAGTACCCTTTGGAAACCGATCCATGCCGAGCCTGGATTAGTTAACCGTGCTGAGCTTGGATCTTATGACCATTTACGCACCATGCTGGCATGGTGACAATCTACTGTACTACTGCTCTCTAGAGGTAAACAAGCATATCAACATGGTGGCGTAATAACATTCAGGAAGTTTGGGCGTGCTTTGGTGGCGCAGTGGTTGGCACACACAACCCATCTACAGAGGCCTTAATCCGCAACGTGGTCCTGTCCCGCATGTCTCTCCCCCTCTCTCATACCCCTTTCCTGTCAGCATACTGTCCATAAAAAAAAAAGCTACTAGTGCCGTAAAAACTGAAAAAGGCAGCCTTTGGTGGATTTACTTGACAGAGTCAGCTTTTGAGAAGTGGATACGACAAACAATAGTCTAATCAGGGCCTACAGACGCAGGAAACAATGACAGACGTTGAGTTTCATCACACTGCTAAGCAGAATCATCACTGGAAATCGTGTGGCAAGCTAGGGAAGCTATTATTTTTATGAGTATCTGAAATTTCATGATTACGGAGGCTAACTGTAAGGAGATGACGCGGTCTGCTAATGCCCTCTTTGTTATCTGTGAACTGAGCCAGAACTGAACCACGTCGGGCCCTACTGTTGAACTAGTACTCTGTTAGTGCGGTCCGATCCATTTGTGCGCGCCATTTACACTCAACAGTCATCTCGGTTACCATGCTTGGACCAATCTCGACATACTTTTAATAGGGTAGTGTAAATGGGGCCTATGTCATGTCACAGGATATGGATATAAGGACGCTTCCAAACAACATTCAAACCCTCTTGGAGATTATGTTCAACCCTATCTTTCTGCTCTCAGGTCTACAAAGGCTATGTTGACGACCCAAGAAACACTGACAATGCCTGGATGGAGACAGTTGCCGTCAACTTTCACGATGAAGCAGGTCATTTTCATCTTCAACTTGTTTTTTCAACCTAATCCCCATGTCTGCACATTCCCCCTGTAAATATTTCTGTCTCTGCAGGAAACAGTGTGAGCGAGCTGCCCCTGCAAGCTGGAGATGACGCAGGACAGGTCCAGTGGGTGGACGTGGACTCGTCCTTCGCTCTCTATGCGAGCCACTCCCACTTCCTGGAGCTGGTTGCCAGAGAGAGGAAGGCCCACTGGTAATCAAAGGACAAAAGGCTGTTCTGATCGAACAATGAGGCAAAGCAGAGCCTGAACAGCACTTGTCCATTCATCCAGAGTGACCCCTAATGGGAATATTTAATATATTCATAAAATCTATCTAACCAGACAGCATGATGAGGAAAAAATGCAAAAAAGGAATAGAAATGCAATCCAACTTTAATCTTTAAATAAGATGTATTATGTTCATGTGCATCTATGACAAACTGCCTTGCAAAGGATTTAAAATGTCACATTAAGGAGTATCTTAATTTTTATTGCATCTGAAAAAATATGTATGCATTGTGCCTTAAAAACATTTATTAACTGCTTGAGCTTTTTCATTTCACTGTGAAGTGGAAGGGAAAGAATGCTTTGTTCAAAGAATTCCTACAAATAAAAACCTGAATATTGTTTTGTGATTTTATGCCCTGTTCCACACAGCTTCTCAGAAGCCCCTTTTTAGGGCCTATCAAGCCTTAGATATGGTCAAAATGTTCCTTACTAGGTCTTAAATGATCTTTGGTTACACCTTAATGCAGTGGCGGCTGGTGGAGTTATCTCTGGGGGGGGGGGATAAAAATTCAAAATGTATGTATAGCAAAAAACTATTCTAAGTTATCACACCAGTATATTTATATGAATGCCAACAACAAAAAACTTTATAAAATGAAAACATAATTACATGTACAGGTTTACTTTTTGTACATAAATGTACTTCTCAAGTTTTGTGAAGGCAAATCTGGGTTTTGCATGGTCCAATATTGTGTCAAAAAAATTACCAGTTTAATAATGGAGAAGCTATTAGTCAGCTTTATATATTTTGAATACATAAAAGCAATTTATTTTAGGAGACTGTGTTTATTTAAGAACAACTATGCAAATAAAAAAATAGAAAAAGTACACTATATTATAATTTCCATGTGATTCCCAGATTGTTCATGCTTCTTTGCCTTTTCTAAAAAGTGTTTAAAATTAGTCCTACCTGTCTTTATCAATGCTTAATCAGACCCTGACATTTGAAAAGTAGGCAGGTAGTCAAAGCAGCAGAATAAAGCGTTAGCCTCGCTGCATGCAGTTAGCCAAGCCTTGTAGCTAAACCAGGTCCTGGAAAAAGACAGAGTGAACCGTCTCCATCAGTCTTTGGACTGCTGATTAATTCTGATCTTCGGCTGATCAGGTCCAAACAGTTTTACCTCCAGCGTCTCTTGGTAAGCTTTTTAAGGAATTTCACTTCCGTGACTCGACCTGTCAATCAGCTGCCCTACAACTGTGACGACATTTCCTGTCACCTCAGGGCACAGCTCTCATGTGCCTGGAGCTCTTCTATACCTTTGTATTGCAGAGGAGCTACTGCACATGTACAGCTTTTAACGAGTCAATGGGCAGCGATTTTTGTGCCCTTAGTTGGAAATACGTCACCAATCTGACAAAAAACTGAACAGCTTACTCGTCGTTAAAGATTAAACATTCGCACATATAAAAAATATAATATACATAAAAAACATATAACAAAAAATATATATCAACATATTTTGAAATATTTTAATTTTATAATTTTATTTGCTTTTTCTTTTATTTCTTAATCAAGGTCATTGGAAGGGTGGGGCGGTGCCTAGGGCTCTGTATTTTGGCCAGCCGTCACTGGTTAAATGTATATTGGAGGGTGTTCTTTTTCCGGGTGGATAATCAAAATAAGTGATCCTCCTAATTGTCAATCATTTTGGTGATGTGTGAACATAAGGACGTCCTACATGTTCGTCCCCATTTTCACTTTTCAGTGATTTTTTTATTTTAAATTTATTTATGATGTAGTTAAGTAAGGTATATATTGTGTTTATTCCAATAATAGTTTAAATAGGCTTGGTTTTAACTTGTTTTACCATTAAATGGGTGGTGGCCACTGTTATTGAGAACTCGAGTACTTTGTGAAAAATATGAATCCTTTGGGCCTTTTATTTTTTAATCGCCTCGTTAAGAAAATCTATCTGTAGCCATTTATAGCGAGGCCTGAATCGAATCTAAAGTATCAGACTTAACTGGAGCTAAATACAAGTTCATGCCAGACTTAAAAAAAAAAAAAAAAAAAACACTTTTGTAGAGGGTTGTGTAGGAAAAAGGCCCCTAAATGTGTAGATATAACAAATAATTTAAATGTTTAATTGGTAGGCTTTTAAATGCCTCCGGATCTGACATCAGAGAAGTTCAGAAGGATTTTTTTTTGCATTAAGGAAACCAACCAGACATTTGCATAGAATGGACCCTGAAAGGCAAAGAGGAGTAGTTGAAATGAAGAAAGCTCACTGATATCTAAATAGGATCACTTGCTGACTGAACCATTTCCAGGTGACAATACCCCTGAACTATTTCTTACCTGACTCTCACATTTGCTCTTGGGATCTTGCTGCATTAGATCATCGAGGCAGAGTTGGAAAAATACAGAAGCAAACTCAGAAATAAACAGCTCTGCATGAACATGTGTACAATTTTAGGGGTTTTATTGACTATTCATTTGTCTTAAGGATGGTATTATCCATCACTTAACAGGAATACAATAGGTGCACTACACTTCAGTGGTAGTTGAAGAAAGCATAGAGAATTCAGCTGCAGTGGGGATTTAAGCAGAGATTCTTATAGGATACACTAATTAAATATTACTCCTTCCTAATTGGTGTCACAAATCCAGCCTGCCTACTTTCTTTGCCCTCATCTCTTCTTACATCACTTGCTTGACTTAATATTTAAGCAGTTTTCAGTTTGAACCCTGCATTGGTTCTGCTGCTGTGGCACCACCACTTACTCACTGCCGGAACTATTCTTCAACTTTGCTGCTGTGGCACCACCACTTAGGCCCCGTCCACACGAAGTCAAAACGAACACGAAACGCTAATACTTTCCAGAACGTTTGTCGTAAAGACGGAGACGTAAAATAAATGTGATCGTCCACACGAACGCATGAAAACGCTGCAAAATGTATGCAAGGCCTGTAAGTGGCGCTGTCGTGCCAAAGCAAAAATAGGCGACGAAATGTTGGGCATGCGCACTAATATTTATACATGGTTGCCCTGCGGGTCCATTTTCGTGGTTCAGTCAAATTCAGGTGCTGAACTATGTCGTTGATATTGCTCTGTTCTTCCTGGAGATATTCCAGAAGAAGAAGATTCTGTTGTAAGCCCGACAGCAGGGTAAGTAGCATTAGCAGCAACCATTCAACACAGTACGGCGCCATTGTTGTTGTGATACTGTGTCGTGCATGCGTGTTTAGAGGCGATGCTATGAGTGTAAAAAAAAAAATGCGGTTAGAGCTTAAAGATGGAAACGCGAAAACGGCGTTTCAAAATCTTCCCACTCTGAAGGCTGAATAAAAAAAAGATTGTTTACAGACCCCCGAAACGCCGGCTTCGTGGGGATGAGAGGCTGGTTTGGTGAAAAATGTGTGCGTTTAGGCCAGGGTTCGGCTTCGTGTGGACGGGTTAGGGTTAGGGCACAGAGGAGTGCGTTCAGTCCTGCCACCAGCTGCAGGGGGAGTAAAAGTTCCGAAAGGACACAGAGGAGAGCGTTAAGCCCTGCCACCAGTTGCAGGGGGAGTAAAAGTTCCGAAGGGACAAAGAGTGCGCTCAGCCCTGCCATGAACGCAGGGGGAGTAAAAGTTCCGAAAGGACAAAGAGGAGAGCGTTAAGCCCTGCCACCAGTTGCAGGGGGAGTAAAAGTTCCGAAGGGACAAAGAGTGTGCTCAGCCCTGCCACGAACTGCAGGGGGAGTAAAAGTTCCGAAGGGACAAAGAGTGCGCTCAGCCCTGCCACGAACGCAGGGGGAGTAAAAGTTCCGAAAGGACAAAGAGTGCGCTCAGCCCTGCCACGAACTGCAGGGGGAGTAAAAGTTCCGAAAGGACAAAGAGTGCGCTTAGCCCTGCCACGAATTGCAGGGGGAGTAAAAGTTCCGAAAGGACAGTGCACTCAGCCCTGCCACGAACAGCAGGGGGAGTAAAAGTTCCGAAGGGACAAAGAGTTCGCTCAGCCCTGCCACAAACTGCAGGGGGAGTAAAAGATCCGAAAGGACAAAGAGTGTGCTCAGCCCTGCCACGAACAGCAGGGGGAGTAAAAGTTCCGAAAGGACAAAGAGTGCACTCAGCCCTGCCACGAACTGCAGGGGGAGTAAAAGTTCAGAAAGGACAAAGAGTGCGCTCAGCCCTGCCACAAACAGCAGGGGGAGTAAAAGTTCCGAAGGGACAAAGATTGCGCTCAGCCCTGCCACGAACTGCAAGGGGAGTAAAAGTTCCGAAGGGACAAAGAGTGCACTCAGCCCTGCCACAAACTGCAGGGGGAGTAAAAGTTCCGAAAGGACAAAGAGTGCGCTCAGCCCTGCCATGAACTGCAGGGGGAGTAAAAGTTCAGAAGGGACAAAGAGTGCAATCAGCCCTGCCACCAGCTGCAGGGGGAGTAAAAGTTTCAAAAGGACACAGAGGAGTGCGTTCAGTCCTGCCACCAGCTGCAGGGGGAGTAAAAGTTCCAAAAGGATACAGAGGAGTGCGTTAAGCCCTGCCACTAGTTGCAGGGGGAGTAAAAGTTCCGAAGGGACAAAAAGTGCGCTCAGCCCTGCCATGAACGCAGCGGGAGTAAAAGTTCCGAAAGGACAAAGAGGAGAGCGTTAAGCCCTGCCACCAGTTGCAGGGGGAGTAAAAGTTCCGAAGGGACAAAGAGTGTGCTCAGCCCTGCCACGAACTGCAGGGGGAGTAAAAGTTCCGAAGGGACAAAGAGTGCGCTCAGCCCTGCCACGAACGCAGGGGGAGTAAAAGTTCCGAAAGGACAAAGAGTGCGCTCAGCCCTGCCACGAACTGCAGGGGGAGTAAAAGTTCCGAAAGGACAAAGAGTGCGCTTAGCCCTGCCACGAATTGCAGGGGGAGTAAAAGTTCCGAAAGGACAAAGAGTGCACTCAGCCCTGCCACGAACAGCAGGGGGAGTAAAAGTTCCGAAGGGACAAAGAGTTCGCTCAGCCCTGCCACAAACTGCAGGGGGAGTAAAAGATCCGAAAGGACAAAGAGTGTGCTCAGCCCTGCCACGAACAGCAGGGGGAGTAAAAGTTCCGAAAGGACAAAGAGTGCACTCAGCCCTGCCACGAACTGCAGGGGGAGTAAAAGTTCAGAAAGGACAAAGAGTGCGCTCAGCCCTGCCACAAACAGCAGGGGGAGTAAAAGTTCCGAAAGGACAAAGAGTGCGCTCAGCCCTGCCACGAACTGCAGGGGGAGTAAAAGTTCCGAAGGGACAAAGAGTGCGCACAGCCCTGCCACGAACTGCAAGGGGAGTAAAAGTTCCGAAGGGACAAAGAGTGCACTCAGCCCTGCCACAAACTGCAGGGGGAGTAAAAGTTCCGAAAGGACAAAGAGTGCGCTCAGCCCTGCCATGAACTGCAGGGGG